AAGCCCCCCCCCCCCCATCAATGAAAAATTTCAGGTTCCACCACTGTTGATTACATTTGACAATGAAAGAGGTTTACACTTCATCTGATGTACAGAGTTGGATACTAGATTTCCAAACTGGAATTCCAAAAGTCGAACCTATTTGTCATAAAAATTGAATGAACTAAATCAATCAATCAACTTTTTATGCAAATAATAGCACTGTCATATTGAAGTTCTGACAAGCACAGTTTAGGAGACAAATAAGGTATCAATAACTGAAGTAAAAAAATGCCCGACTCAGATCGCGAGTTCATAGGTCAATGAAAGAAAACTTCACCTCAGTTTCTGAGTATTAACATTTTTTGGGATTTTTTGGCACTGATTCTAAAAAAATCGCACAAAATTGCAAGAAAACATTTTGATACATTCCCCTTGACAAAAATAAAATGAGATTTTTAAACAATGCAATTGAGCTATACATTTTTGGCATTCAGCCTACCATAAATAGTAAACCATAGGAACATTCACACATTGAAAATATGGTGCACTTCAAGGAAAAAGCTGAGAAAGTTGTTGTTAAAAAAGATGTTTCCCAGCAAAAAACAGAGTAGGAAATGCGCTATGTCCAGCACAATGATTTGGACTGAGTTAAGCAGAAAGGAACCAACCCACATTATGGAAAAAATTGAGTTTTGAGTGGTTTTGAACTCTACCACTGCTCTACTATCTATCGCCAAAAATTCAAAGTTTTTGTCGGAGCAAATTTTACAGAAATTGAACTTGAAGCTTATCTTTTACATTGAGTCTTATGCAGGAGCCAACCTTTAAACCTCTTTTTCTCGGTTCGAACCCGATGTGGCTTGGTTCCTTTCTGTTTATCTCCGTTCATTTACTCTTTTAAAGCACTGTACACAGAAAATGGGGCTTTCACTTCAGCAGCAATTATTGATCATAAAAAAACCTGAACAAATTTAAGTAAATGTAAATTGATGAGCCATCCTACAGTGGATGATAGCTTTGGAAGAACCATTGTGGTGTCACAAGATTCCTAATAGAGTTACTCTCGACAACTCATCCAAAAAAATTCCTGCCACTCTTTAATTGCTCACTAATATACCCAGTGCTCTTCATAAGTACAATATATCTCCTGTCAAATGTGACCGGGGGTGCAAATTTTTCTGAACCAAATTGCAGGCATGCCTTAAAAATCGTGGAGGCTGAGGGTATTTTTTTAAAGAGGTTTCCAGGTTAAAGCAGTGTGTTGTGTTAACCTGTTCTTCGCAAAAACCTTGCGTGTAACAGGAAATTTCAAAGGCCGGGTACAATTTGCACCCCTGAATATGGCTATATTAGTTTGCTTATGAAAATGTCCCCTAAGAATTTGTTTTAATCGTGCACAGTCACTTTGTCGCCCTTATCAATCTTTGATCACTGATAAGCGGCAGCAGCGCTAGCACCTAGAAGCGGAGAGAGGAAATGACAACTTGTTTGAAAAGAGCTCAAGCATCATTTTTTTGCATTACTGAGCAGAAATCTGAGTTAGAAAAATGAAATCACACAGTCATGAAAAGTTTGACAGGAATGATTACCGTTGAGCTAAAAATAGAGTTGCGAACTCATCACACCATGGCTATCAAGATCTGATTGCTCAGAATCCAAAATTAAATTTTGAGCAGACCAATGAGAAAATTTGGAGCAGTAATAGGAATGTGCTAGGTGGATGCCTAACTACAAGGAGAGCGCGGGCTTTGTCTTGATACATGTTATTAATGATATGAGAGATGCGCGATGATGTAAAAAAAGGAAATATCTCCCACTATGAATTAAAGGATAGAGCCAGCGAGGGAAGTTACCGATTTTGGGGAAAACTTTCATTTAAAATAAGGCTACAGAGGATTCTCAAGAGATAAGAGAGAGAGATGTGCCAGCCACTAGACCATGAAAGTAAAACTTGACAAAATGATCAAATCTGGGGAGCTTTGACCAATATGTTACGGTAATACGGGTGTGGTACAGAATCAAGAAGAGACGAACTTAAATACTAGAGTGAAGAAAAGATAGGCAATGGCTCAAGGGCAGAAGAAGCAAATGCTCCACAAAACACATGCCCTCAGGCCAGAACCTACTTCTCAGATTCTTGGAAAGGCTGAGGCATATGATTGCTATCAACCATCAGATCTGGTCCAACGGGCGAAATGTGCCAAGTAGCCGCGGAATTTGGCTAATAAAACGCGAATTAGATACAGAGAGAACGATATACGAAAGATTATGTAATGAAATAGCCATGTGAAAAGATAAGAGGTCTGGCTGTGAAACACACCCCCAATGGGTAAAGGGTTGAGTACAGGAAGTGACACACTAAAGTAACACAATGCTTGTGAGGTACAATCGAAACACTTGATAAACGGAAACACTGATAGTTGCGTAAAGAACAGTAAGACGAAAACTAAAGAGAAAATGGTACTCACGGAGTCTTTCACTTGGTAAACCATGTTTGAGTTTGATTAGGGGCCGGCTGAGACACGCTAGTTGACACAACTGAAAGAGAAAATTCACAAGTTTAGAGGATGAAAAGGACGAATGTTACAATATCAAAAGGGTTTCCGAAACTGGTGAGACTCTTCTATGTTAGAATAAGAAGGATATCTAAGAGGAAATGATAACTTACGAGATGCTTGCGGTTTCAGAACGCAGAAGGTTACTTGATAAAGCGAAACAGGCAGCTTTTACCTTCGGAAATGTCGATTGCAGATTGGACTGGAGTGTTCCACTGGTGACGTAACGACCCCATCGTGAGTCAACGGTTTTCCTTGACGCGCAGCTCGGAACAGCTGTTGCCAAATCTACTTAATAAAACATGTTGAAGAATTCATGCCCGGAGGTAAAGCGTTCAGTTTGGTGGCCACTATATTGATTGATGGCACGCACATTTCGAATTACTCAGGCGAAAAGAACGATTATTTATTCTTCAATTTTTTTCACAATACGCACTGTTACGCCTGAATTTATCTTGTTCTAGTTCAGGGTGCGCATTTTGCTGCCCTCTTGCAAGAGAACACCAACTGGTTATGATGCCCAGTTTGACACCATTGAGAATCCTCGGACATTCCTCCACTTACTCATTATGAGGCGGCTATGTGTCCATCCTTCAGCAATTTCATTCATCCCCCCCCCTCCACCCTTTACTTCAGCAATAAAGGAGGGGTATCGAAAAGGGTCATTTTTGGGCCCAGTCTGAATTTCCTCCAACGATTTTTTTTTGCTCATTAATGGTCTATATTTTACGGAGTGCATATCCTGATCTGATCATTTTTGGTTTCCTTTAGAATACCTGAGATGCGAAGACCGATTTTGGCGAAAAATGCGCGTTTATTCCAAGTTTGCGGTCGAGTTCCGAATAATGCGATTTTTTCGTCAAATTAGGGCTTTAGATCTATGTTTAGGCCAGAATTGGACCTAAAAGAACCGAAAATGACTAAATAATTATACATTCCGAAATTATGGACCTTCAATGAGCAAAAAAATCATTGAGTTGGGAAGCTCAGCTGAGGTGGTTCCAAAAACGGCCTTTAGCGATACCCTTCCTTTTCGAGAGAGAGATCCTTTGATCCTAACGTCTACCTAGCCCCGCCGCGGGTGAATTTTAATTTATAGCTCGTATCTTTAATTTTTTGGAAGATAATTGTGTCCTTCGCAAGTAATTCATTGAAACCCTCAGAGTCGCGTATTGCTTGATAAAATTCTTACAACTTGAACAACGCCTAACAGGTAGGTTAGTGAGAAAATATGATCACGTAACAATCTTTTGTTGCGAGATACTCTGAGAACAGATTTTCCACGTCGCATAAAGATAGCATTTAAGATAGCGAGAGGAACAATGACACAAGAGGGGAATAATTAAAAATACTTACTTAATGCGATTAAATTGCGAGAGGAATGGCAAGGTGCCAGAAAGTCGATAATTATCCGATACTTGCAAAGTATCGATACTTTCGATCGATACTTAACGATACTCGGCATCGATACTCCACGATATCGATACCATGCAGTATCGATGCCAAGACCCCAGTATCGACGGTATCGATACTTAATCTGATTTGGCCATGAAGAAGGCCTCTTTTTCTTTTTTAAAAAATTCTCTCCCCACTATTTCACCTTCATGATGCACTGTGACAAACGACGGAGTAATCAAGTTTCTCAAAATGATTATACTTCAACAAAAATGTTAAAAGCTCAGTTCGATAAGTGTAGTTAAAGGCTCAAAATAGTTGACTAAGACGCGAACAGGGCTTTTTCGAGAGAGGCGTAAATCTGGCGGAATTAAACGGCCGACAGACATACGCACACTCAGAATCACGCACGGCATAATTCAGAAATAGTATCGATGGTATCGATACCTCATAAGTATCGATACTTCAGCTCGATGCTCGATACCGGTATCGATGCTTAGAGTCGATACCAGTATCGATACCGAGTATCGATACTTCCCTGAGTATCGACATCCCTAGCCAGAAAGCGGGAAAAAACACCTACAGGCTGTGATTAGGTTGCACACAAAAATCCAAACCGGGCGCTCGGCGACAGGTTGGAATCAATCTTGACTAATTTCCGTATTCAACCATCAAAGAGCCGGATTCTCACTCTTTTTCGGTAATATTCTCAATTAGGAAAATTAATTGCGTTTAAAATGCTGGAATTAATCAAAAGTGATGTTTTAAATGTAATTGCGCATGATCGTGTGATCACGAATCGGTTGGCACTGCTGGAACGCTGCGGGGAATGTTTGAGCGCGGGAAATTTTGAAATCAGATGGAACCCGAGGAGGTGCGCTACTCGCTACAAATTTAACAGCTGATTGCGAAACATACAAAAAAATGTGACCAAGATTACATTTTATATTATCAGTTCTAAGACGATAATTGTTTCATTTTCTCTTTATTATCGATGACAAGAGAGATTATGGTGAATCTACCTGTGAGAATGGATTTTAATTAGTTCTAAGATAGAAATGATTCCAAGCATTTGTCGGTAATTACTTGATAACCTAGATCTCCAAACTGATTAAGCAGTGAGTTGTGACATATTTCATGCGATACTTCATTCTAAAGCTGTGAAATGTTGTAAAGATTTTATGAGACTTACAAATGAAACATCGTAAATGTTTTTGCCTGTAGCTACAATAATGGTTGTAGTTTTGAGGTTCTCTCTGGAAGTTGATGCAGAACTGTTGGGGTCCCCAAATGATGCAGCCAAAATATGCTGGAGCAATAAGGAAATCTCCGTCGACAAGACGAGGATACCTTTGATTGTTTATTACCTAAAATCTTGCGCGGACACATTGTCCCTCCTGCATTCACCTTGCAAGAGAGAACTAAGTGCAATATTATCACAGAAAATTCATGATGCAATTCCTGCAATCAACAAGGCATATTACGAAGGAAACGTTGATTATTCTTTTGTTCATGATTTGCACAAACTACACGGAAGCAACCAATGCCTCCGGACTCAAGACTCGATGTCGTTGGGCAAGGTGAGGAGAAAGCGAAGCTGGATAAAAATTAGAAACCCAAGATCAGCGCGGAAACGTGTGATGCCTTTGATTATTCGAGCTAATCAGACGGAAAAGGAGGAGGCATGTAATACTTTAATTGTCTCCCCGAGCTCAGGTAAGTAAGTCTGGATAATGCTAACTTAGGTGACTTAATCGTCAATTAAAGATAACTTTTAAAAAGCTGCACAAAATGTGTGAAATTCAAAATGACCAGGAGTTAAGAATACAGCTTGGCTGTAACCGACCCTAAGAATTTTTTTTCTCTTTTAAACCCTACAAGTAAAATTTTTATCAAGGGGTGCAGAATGTTCTCGATCACACGATCATGATCGTGTGGCGAATGGGTTGGAATGCTGTGGAGGGCTATGAAAATTGGGGAAGGCTGTAAAAATTAGGAAAGACTTTTTTTCCCCCCTTGTTTTTGGGGAAAAAGCAGGGAAGCGCATTGTTATTTGTGTTCGATGCCTTTCAAGCGTGCTGCTTTTGGGGAAGGAAACTATCAAGCAACTTTTTTTATTTGCCGGAAGTCTTACATGTGCCCTTCTTGTGGAAAAAGATACATTTAAGGGCGCTGCTTTTAGGGAAGGAAACTTTTAAGCGCGTCGCTTTTGGGAGAGGAAGCTGTTAAGCGCGTTGCTCTATGTAGAGGCTCAATCTTGGCAAAACAGCATATTTTGGAGAAGGCAAATTATAAATTGGGGAAGGCTCGGAACTTTCTACACCCCTGTTCTTATCTTCTTCTCACCCGGCAAGGGTAGCTGTGGAAACATTGTTACAATGTTACTGAAATGAGTAGCGTTAAGACGAGATTTTTGTTACCATCACTCTTACAAAACATGTTCACACAAAATTAATTCATAGGGTCTAATCTCCCCTTTTGCTAAAAATAAAAAATAAAGGGGGAAAATATTTTTAGAAATTTTTATTAGACTGAATGCAGGATTTCCCTGTACCTTTACCGAGGTATTACGTTACTTTTCCATCTGATTATTTTTGCAGGAAGAAGAATTAGGAAAAAAGTGCCGCTCCCATACTTAGACAATGTTGAAAAACCGAAAAGAATCGCTGTCCCATTTGTCTCTAAGCCACTGTACGATCTCACCGACTCGGATGCAAGGAGTTTACTTGTAAAATACTATATAACAGGCGTGAAGTGCCTATCGTTGTCTTCAGAGCATAATCAAGACATTTTAGTTTTTAACCGAAATTTTTACATTTGGCTCCTGAAATGTGTGAGTGATCATATTTTAAAAAGGTCTTTAATTCTCGATCATAGATGGTTGCATTCTTTATTCTTTAAGTAAAGTAAAGTTACGCTGGCTGGTGCTTTCATAGCAATAATAATTTTCTTCTTTATTTCTAAAACCTAGCAGAGATTTAAAAAAAAAAAAAAAAAACGGTTAAAACTTTGAGGCCTATTTCAAAAATATTCGGCAGCAACTACTACTTGTTCTAAGAACCTAAAATTCATGAAGAGGTTGTGATTGACTGTAACTTGCACGGATGAAAAAAATTGCCTCAGATTGAAAAATCCTCATGATCCTCATGATCCTCATGAGAAAAATAACAAATTATATGTACCTTACTTGACAGTTGGAGCTCACTATGCTGAGAAGAAGTGTTTTTTTATTCTGGTACCTAAGTAATTAATAGTCTTTTATAATCAGAATAAAAAATCGAGCCTCGGCAGGGATATTAATCAAAAAGAGGGAAGAATTTTCTGAGATTTTCACTTATATCTTTCATTAGAATAGGTTTAAAAAGGTGGTTGATATCTAACACCGCTTAAGTACCTATTCCCTAATTGACTCTATTTTTTAGGTCCTCCCAAGAATTGAACAGGACAGTCAACTGTATCCAGCGTTTGGTGGAGTCTTCAAAATTCTGGAGACCATTCATGATAAAGGTTAGCGTGATTAACATTCATAAAAAAAAAGAGTGAATCTGAAATAATTATTGAAATTCCCTATTAAATATTCCTAAGTAGTATAGTAATAGTATTACCTAATTAAATTGAATTCAACAAATAGTATACCTCTACTAATTGGGCCTTTTCAGAAGGAACCTGTAGATTCAGGGGATGAATTTTATTTAAACCTAAGTCGTGTGAAAGCTGGCTTTGGACTAGTTCTGTACTTAAACCCTTTGATGAATGAAATAGGGGCGTACATTTTTCTGATTACCGGCTTAATTTCACATTTGAGTTGAATACCGACTCAAAAATCAGTACATGCACTTCAAAATTTGTGCATTTCTTTATGTTCCTTCGATTCATTTCTTAAATTGTTCACTAAATGGAATTTTCCTGGGTTCTGGCAGGAAAAACTAAATTTTTCAACTTCATACAAGGTAAGAATAATTTTTAAGATAAATAAAATGTGGTAGAATTCGGCATTAGCTGTTTTCGCCTTCAATCATCAATTTTTTTGTCTATTCTTGGCAGGATTGATTGATTTAGAGCGCGAGATCGAGAGTGACATTGGAAATGAGATATGTGTTCAGCCATCCTTGCTCCACAGAACTGAGAAGCTAGCACACTCGGAGGCAACCTCAAAACGAAGTGGGAAAGTGGCGATTGCAAGTTCTTCGTTCTGTATAATCATCACTCTCGTTCTGACGACATTCCTTTTCCTGACATGGCTCCTTATTGTTTTCCTGTTTCTATTCTGTCGGTGCTGTCGCTACCACCGGATGAAAAGGTTACTATCTTGTCTATCTCTGCTTTCAACATTACGCATTGTTAGATTCTCACTTAAGTGGTTACCCAAGTAGCATAATGAAAATATTTTATGAAAAAAAAAAATAAAAAATAAAATTAAACAAATTTGGAAAATAAAGAAAAAGTAGCTAACAGTATGGGAAGTAGACAGACGATTGAGAGTGAGTTTCACTATTTACCAAAGAAAATAGGTCTATTTCCTGTCTACAAAATGGATCTATTTTCCGTCAAGAAAATTGATAGGGCTAATTTCCTTAAGAAAAAATATCCAAAAACCAGTTGGAAAATAGAGAAAAATTGGATATTTTCTGCATGTATTTCTTAGAAATTTAAAATCTAGAAAACAGATAGAAAAAACACAGAATGTAGACAACAAAATTGTTTGTTTTCCTTGTATTTAGTGTCCGGAACATAGACAGAAAATAGAAGTTTTTTAATAATTTTCTTACTTCTATTTGATACATCTATTTTCTTTCCATTTTCTCTCTATTTTACTTTTCTGTCTAGAAAATAGGCAATTTCTAAAATAAAGCTAGACAGAAAATAGAACCCCGTGCTACTTGGGTAAGTTTTGCTGAAGTACAGGATCTAAGACTACAGGCAAAAATCATTCTGAAAGATGTCTAATGATTTTCTGCTATACATCCAGCATCACTTCATTGACATTCATTAAAAAAAAACTATTACTGTCGTCTACAGTAAATTCAAACTTGTAAAAGTATTCAAGAAAAAGTATTTTGTATTTGTTCGAGGCTTACAGTTATGAAGAGTAGTTTTGGGGAGAAGCAGGAAGATATCTTACTTCCTTACGTTTGGAAATTAAAATTGTCAGATCATAATGTAATTTCTTGCTCTCAGTTGGAACAAAAATGACTCAAACTGGTTGGGACTTACTTGCGGGATACTACATATTATTTTCTGTACACAATTCTAATTCCAATTCATTTCCTCAACTTGACAAAAAATACTCTTTTGAAAACTTGACCTCTGTGGATGGTTGTAAGTAAGTAGCGAACAATGAATTAAACCGCACCTGTAAGTATAAAAATCATCAAATCCATAAAAAATACGACAAAGGATGAATAATATTTTTTGTGCGTATTTAAAAAAAAAAAAAATTTGCACTCTTTAATGAATGGCAAAAATGCCGAAAGAGGTCTCTAACTTGAACTCCCACCAATGCAGGATGAAACTGAAGATTCTTAAAGAAATGATGAAATTAATAGTGATCATAATCCCGGAAAATTTTTCAATCGGTCAGATCAAACACCAGGAAAATTGGATTACAAATCGCAATAAGGAGCCACTATTTCTGGCTCATTTTAGAAAAAACACGTATGCCATTGATTTCCTTGTGCAGACAGGTGCTTTTATGGAAGATCCAGAAATAGTGGTTTCTTATTGCAAAATGTAATCCAATTATAGAAGCACACATTACAAAACAGATTCCAAGTTCAGTTTAAAGATATAGCAATGTTGTTTACAGGGACAGTGAGACAGATGCAAATAATAGCTGCTCGAAAGAACAACTTCTTCAAGACGAGTTAACGATCGAGGACAACTCACGAATAGGGGCAAAGATCTGCAAAAACGAGCCAAAGCCGCTTACAAATGAAATTCGTCCAGTTTCAACGGAATTCCAGCCCTTGATAACATCAACTCCTGACAGGGATTTAAAGAGGTGCGCTGAGAGGGGAGTGACAAAATGTCCATTTCAGAACAGATGTCAGAGGATCACTCCGTTGAGTCCCATTCCTAGCGAAGAGAGAGATAAGGAAAAGCCAAAGAACACCGGATTTTCCAAATTCTTAGCACCGATTAAAAGAGAAAAAGAGGAGTCTTTGGTCTTGACAGACCAGAGGAATGACAATAAAGAATGCAAGCTAGTTTCAGTGATTACAAACACAGATGAAAATCCCTCCCATAGCTCAAGGAACGACGAAACATTCCCATGCTCCAATGACATGCCCAAATGGCAATGCAGCAAGAGGAAAAGCAAGTGGCAGTGCTCACAAGAGAAGAAGTTGCCTGGAGGAGGCATAAGTGAAACAACAATCAAGGTCTTCCCAAAAGACGTCAAGCTCGATCACGGATCAACAATGCAGACAGGGTAAACTAACCGTAATTTCCTTTCTTTCTCACATTGGAAGCAATAGATTCTTTTTACTGTACTGTAGTGTTTGAGGAACTTCAAAATTGCTTCTAACAAATCCTGGCGATAAAAAATTGAGTTTCTTTTTTAACGGCGACAAAGCAAAGGTGGTATGGTATGGGCATGTGCAGAGAATGGTTTATACCAGGTTGCTGAAGAAGGTGTTGGAGTGGGAGTGGGTCCCCCCAGGTAGGCGATGGAGAGGGCGTCCAGCCAAACGGTGGGTAGAGGGCATCCGTCAAGAGATGGAGGGATGTCAGCTTCCGGAGGATCTCTACCATGACAGATTCCTGTGGGGAATAGGCCTCGCAGAGCGCCCTAGCGCGCTGTAAAAGCGGATTATACCTACATACAAAACTTTGAGAATTTAAAAAATTTACTGATTAATCCTGAAATTTTCGAGGTTTAAGGACTTAAATTTCCTGCTTTTTTCCGGAGTTTCAAAAGGATTTGAATATGAAAATTCTCCTCTCGAAAAATTATTAGCACCAAGTTCCCTTGAAATTGACCGAATGCAGTGTGAAACTTGAAGACAGAATCTACTTCTCACGATCATAAATTGCAATTTAAGTTATGGAAGGACAATAATAACAGGGTGAGAATTTCCTGCAATGGAGCTGATACAATGAGAGTAAGTTAATCAGGGCATATTGACAACAACAAAAATTCAGATTCAATAGCAAAATTTTCAAATTTAACTTGTTTTTTAACAATGATGTAGAATTTCTTGACTTTCAAAAGCTTATCTTTATCTACAGTGTAAGAAAGAGTGTAATTCTTTACTAAAGATAGATAATATCCTCAGTTATGATGACATGGTAAAAGACAATAAATTTTGACGAGATTTTTTTTTTAACTTATGATCATTCATTAAAACATATTTACATTCTACAGTAGATTTTATAGCTTTATTTATTTTCATCCTAAATTTATTTATATCGAATTTTGTAAAGAACCTTCTACACTCATTACAGCCGCAACTAATTTTTGATCACTGTCAGGAGCTGTCCATTCAAGCGGAAAAAACAAGGTGCAGAAGCTACAAAGGAGCCTTGTAAAGTGCAACCAGACCGTGCAAAAAAGGGAACTTCAAATTCCTCTATCTCAAGAAAAACTTCAACTGGGTCAGTCAAATCAGACGTGATCAATGTTGATTCCAATTACAAGTGCAAGGTACTGGTAGAAATGAGATCATCCTCTTAAATCTCCAATAAGGATTTTAAACGTTAATTTTTCACAGAGGAAATAACTCCTTAGCTTCCCTAGTGCACATCCATTAAAACATAAGATTTTAAGAGAAAAAAATTCAACCATGTATTCAAACCTTGTCGAAAAGTCTATTGAAAAAAAAACTTGAAGTTCTAAAATGAAGTATCTAAAAAACATGATGAACTCCCCTTATTGAAGCTTTCAATTCACGGTTTCCAATAGAGACTTTGCAGGTGTCTGAAATTTGATGAATTTCGTGTTTAAGTGGAGACTATTGAGTGAACTGAACACGAGGATACCCTTGGTTCATGAATTGAACGATTATTGGAGAAGATAAGACGAAATGATCTAATCTGCCAAAATACATGTGTTTAAATAGGAAATGCTGCCAGATGATGTCACTAGGCGGTGCATTTTCTCACTTTTAAATCTATTTTTATACTATTTCCTATTTAAGAAAAAAATTATAAAAACTACTGTGAAATCAGCTCCTTAACTACTTTCATATGAAGCAATAAAAAATTTGCATGCAAATTCTCCATTCGTTTCCAGATTAAATTTGTCGGCGCACCACCAAAATGTGAACAATGTAGTGACAATTTGTACAATGACGTCATGAACATGTTAAGTGTCTACAAAGAAGAGTCAACAATGGAATCAGCAACTGATACATCAGAGGAATCAGTAACTTCAGAGACAGAGCCAGAGAACCAGGTGACCGAATCTTCCAAGACCAAAAGTGGAAACAATTCAGGGAAAGAAGGTAAAGAGCTAAAAATGGTCCCGGATAAATGAGAAGGTACAGGCAACAATGCACAAGAAAAATGTGCTAAAAAAATCAACATGAAAAATAAAGATTTTCACTTTGGTTGTAGAAGAGGAAATGATTCAAGATGGAAACTTAGAATTGTTAGGTGATAATCTGAACCAAAATGAATTTACGGCTTAAAAACACTTGTCAAAGTTTCTTGTGAGAGAGATATTATTCTAAACTTTTGTGGCGACACAATTAAGATAAAGACTCATGTTAATTTAAGGTACTTGTTACAATGTTTCACTTCAAAACCAACCCATTTACAATAAATTATGATTATTTTTCTGTCGTGTTTTCATATTATTTGCAGGATAAACGTGCAAAGTTGGATTTATCAATAGAATAAGTTTAAAAACTTCTTTCTTTGACCGAATGTTTCAAGGTTTACAACACTTCAACTTCATTCGACTGGTGAAAAATCTAAACTCTCTTGTACAACAGTAGTTTTCCTTCTTTTTTCTTTCTTTTTTTTCTCTTCTTGAAATGTCCTTCATGTTCCTGATCAATACAGAGGAAAAATCTTGGAGTGCTTGCTTATTCAACTGATCAGTATTATTTAAACAAACCAGTTTTTGGTGATAAACGTTGAAAATAAGTTTCAGTGATGAAAGCATGGAAACAGTTTATTAAATTAAATATATAATTCTCGAGAACATAAAAACACATACAAGATGGATCTATGATAAAAGCATAAGAAAATAAAAGTAAGTTGTGTGGAAGAGACAAAATAAGAATAAATAGAGAGAAATTGAAGATATCTTAGATGTTCAACAAGAATATTCAATGAAAATTGACACATGGGCCCTGGTGTAAAACAAACAAAAAAACTCTAGAGTTCGAAGCTTCACATCACGACTAAAATCCTGTCAAATTTGGGAGGCACAAGTCTGTTTAAAGTGAAAGGTAAAGTTACGTATAATTCTTTGAAAATTTCATGCTTCACTATTTCTATGCTTTGTTTATTCAGCAAATTCAGAGTATTTAAAAGGAAAAAATAGTAAAAATAAGGCAATTCCACATTGTTTTATCTTTGAAGAGTTATAGGAAAAGTTACAGAAATAATACAAATATTTGCCGAAAACACATCAAAATATCAATTTTGCATTCTAATCTATCGCTGATTATCTGCCACACAAGCCTTCTGGCAATTAGTGTCAATTCTCACTAAATATTTGTAAGTCGTTTTGAGGAAATTACTTAAATTTAATTGCAGCAAAAAATGAGTTGAAAGAAATTTTAAAAAATTTACAGGTGGGTCAATAAGATAAGGAAAAAAACAAACTGATATCTGTGATAAAAAAAAGGACATAAGTTTCGAAATTTAAAAATAACTGTTTCCTACTCAAAGATTCAGCAGGAAAGTGTGAATAGACTTTTTTTTATACTTCATCACTTCGCTAATTTTCAAAATTGGACTAATTCCAAATAATTTGATCAAACTTTCTTCCTTCATTAATGGTCACTTAGCTGTGTTTAAAATACCGATAGAGTTAATTTGTGACTTAGAGGCCATTCATAAATTACGGTCCACTGAAATTCAGAAATTTAGATCCCTTCACTCTTTGTCATGCGTCTCAGCATTACAGTTGCCACAATATGTAGGTCTGAGACACCCCTACAAAATTATGCTGAGCTTTGTTTAGTGTGGCATTTTAGACATGGAAAAAATTGGGTGATCTCTGTGTATATTATTACCAAAACTGTCCAACAATTTCCTAACAACCGGCGCTTTGCACCAATTAATGGGTCTCGTTATGTGGCACTAGATCATTTTCTTTCCTCTAATGCACATCGTAATTTACAAAGGCCCCTTGCCTCAATTACTAAGGAACCATATAAACTTAAAAACACATTTGAAAAGTTACAAAAAACTTACATCATCCATCGGTATCCGTTATGAAAACATGCTAATTGACGGATTGAAGCATTGATGAAGCGATGCAGTCACCGATCATCAAGAGTAAAGATTTGTCAATTTCGATACATTTTAAGATTTAATATCACAATAAAATACGAGGAAATAATGACAAAATACAACGTCACATCTAAAATCAGTCCGTCTCATTAGTTGAATTATCTTTGGATTGACTAACAATTTAATTCAGCAATGATAAAATCATGCTCTTCAGGAGAACAGAACTGAATCTAAAGAAAGGAAAATAAAATAAAAATCAGGGGTTGTGCAGCCTTGAAAAATAAAATTGGATAACTCCTTTGGAATCCCTCCCCAAAAGATATGCAACTAGAAAAAGTACTTTTAAAGACTTGCTGTTTTTCTGTATTTGTGCTTGTGTTTAAACTCTTAAACAATACAAGAAGGCAGTCACTGACTCAACCCGTCCCTTTTCATGACATAAGTTATGAGGGACATTTCTGATATTCAGAGCTTTAATCTATCAATCGGAGAAGATCTCAAAGGTCTCAAAAACTTTGAAGATCTATAGAGCTGCACAACTCCTGTTAACTAAAAACTAGAATATTGCAATTTCAGTATCCAAATTTCATGAGAGCGATCATTGTTATGAACAGCGTTTGATCGAATCGTATGTACAAAAACAATTGGAACAGAAAAATGTGAAAATTTTCTGGCTCAAGATTAGAACTTGAATTATAATTTTCAGCTACAAAGTAAGACAAACCTTCCTCACAAGATTGGAAAAAAAGTAAGTTAGTTACTATAGCTATTTAATTATTTTTCTGAGTTCTGAATCAGACTTTGAAACTTAAATTGATTCATTTTCAAATTTTAAAATCGAAAGATGTGCCTAAAAATATTCTTTTTTGTTTAAATTCAGAAATGCTTGACACAACGGGAATAATTTTCTCATGGTAGAGTTTCATTGATTGGTGAGCGAGGCACATTTCACCTTAGACAGTAATTATTCATTCAGTTCAAAAGCCACTTCGAAAAAGTTTGTGACGAAAGCTAAAAAAACAAAGGGGCAGATATCATCGCCAGCTATCGCCTGCAACACCTCCAAATCGTGTTTTACACTTGCAACACAAGGTTTGAGGGATTTCTCTTAGGTCCAGAAGGAATGAATGAGATTGACTGTAATGTTACTGTCATAATTGAACAACATATTGCAATAAGAAGCCAGTATTCCTGGCTCATTTTAGAAACAACATATACCAATGGTTTCCCTATGTAGAGATGTGATTTTATGGAAGAGCCAGAGATAGTGGTTCTTTATTGCAAAATGTAATCCAATTCATGAATGCACTAACACATGATATTTATATAATGTAAGACGATGGTTAAGGGCTATGACTCGATACCCTCCCAAAATTCGGATAGCTACAGCTATGATACCTGATACCACCAATAATGTTTTGAAATTGGAGAAAACGTTCCTTTTTCGGAAAAAAGAAAAGAGTACAGCCGTTGATTGGTTGGCAGGACTTCCTTATAAGCTACAAAAAATGACTGCACTTGTTTTTAAGTCGAGGAAAAATAAAGATTTAATTTATCTGAGTCTTAAAGGGAAAGAGGGAACAAAAATAAGTTCTCGGAGTTCACTTCAAAAAGCTGGCTAATTTAGTGGGAAAAAAAAATAAAAGAAAACAATATATGAAATTGAAACTAGGAGATGAGAAATAATTCAAATATTTTTAAAGCTTAGAGAGGATGTAGACTCGTTACATTTAACAACTGCAGCCAATGAAATTGGCTGCTATAAAAATCCACATAAAAAATTGGAGTAAGTGAGTTCATTTCAAAGGACCTCATGAGAATAAAAACTATAAAACCAATGAAATTAAAATTCTTTCGCTCTATGATAGAAACATAAATTAAATGTAGTTGAGTGACTCTTTTGATGTTAAATTCGCATGATTTTCTGAAGAGGTAGATAAATAAATTAGAAATCAAACCAAAATTAGCAAAAGGAAACCTACCTACATCAGTTTTGCAGTATATTACAATTCTATAGCCTTTTTAGTTTTCAGTTAGAGAGACGAATCATGATTATTTTTGCATCCCATTTAAGCAAATTCACTTGGCATTAAGAGAGCAAGAGAAAAAGGGAGAGAAAAAAACGCTGTTCGTTTAGGCTCTTGCTGCTGACTATGGTCTGATTAATGGTTCGAGGAAGAGAGAGAGGTTACTTAACTTCTTCCCTGATTCGGAGCACCAGATTGAATTTTTGAAAAAAAGGCAATGGAAATAACAGTGGAACATTCCTCACCCGAAGTAGTAAAATTACCAAGTGAGAATTTTAATCAAGCTACTTTTCGAGAGTAGATAAAACTTGACATTAGATTGACTAATTTACTTAATCAACAAAAAATTTCGCATTGTGTCTTGAGATGATAGAGAATGTTATGCAGGTTATAGAATTAATTCAGTTCAGGGTGGCCGAGTATAGAATTCAGCACTTCAGCCTTTCAAACTACCTCATGGAATTGAAAGAACCCCGCACAGAGCATGGGGTCAGCGGCTCTCGATGAAAGTCGATGAAACTTTAATAGATTGATATAAATTTCATAATTAAGGGAAAGCCAAAATATTAGCTTGTTTTTGCGAGTAGAAACCGAGCTATTCGCAATTGAATCCGGACTATTTTCTATCATGCCGTAGCATGGCGGAAGAATTCCGAGTCCCCTCTCCTCTCGTTGTTCGGCGTTCTCGATCAGACCTCACGTCACTCACGTGAAGATAGGTGCTTATGCGCTCAGCCGGTGCGAATGCCGTACTCCCTCCCTCTCCCCGCATCTGTCAATTCTGTTTCAGCAACTACATTTCAGATTAAACCGGCCGGCGGTGCCGGCACGGGAGGGGTGCAAGAAGCAGGGAACTCCATATCCCACAGCCCGAACGGAGCATCCTAATGAAAGGAGTGAGTGTAAACAATGCGACATCGTAGTTACCTGGTGGGGAGAGGGGGTTTCCTGGCCGAAGTGCTCAAGCAAGGTAAGGCGACACGGAGAATTTACCTCTGCCGCACAGGAAATAGTCCGGGTTCAATCGCGAATATCTCGGCTTCTACTCGCAAAAGTGAGCTAATTTTTTGGCTTTCCCTTAATTTTGAACTTTATATCAATCTATTAAAGTTTCATCGACTTTCATCGAGAGCCGCTGACTCCATGCTCTGTGCGGGGTTCTTTACATGAATTTTCCTCCTGATGTTTCTTTTTCTAATATTTAAGAACTCAGCTTACTGGAAACTCTACAGATGCGGGGGAAGGAAACGGTGAGGTGTTTGTACCCGATCAGTCTATAACTTTGCTTGAGGCCAAAGTGAAAATGTACAACAACAGGAATGTTAAATCACGAATATCTCCGCTCTTACGTTGCCAAATTGCCTAATTTTCTGGCTTTGTGCTAAAAATGAAGTTTATGTCAGCGAGTAAAAGTCTCATCAAAATAGACTAAGAGCCACTGAGCCCCTACAAGTAGGCAGGGTTCTTTGGAAAGTCCAGATAGAGAAGAGAGATGGATCAGTTGTTTTCAAAAGGGAACAAGTCCACTTTTGCATGAGCCTTGGCTTGCGTAAAGGGACATACTAACGAAGACTCATCCAGGAAGGACCTATTCCCTTCTGAAAACAACTGATTAAAATGATAGGTGGTCATCACCACGGCGATTGAAGTTTTTCATCAACCATTCTCTGATTAATCTTTATACAATTCTGAAATGAAGAGCACTAGTGAAAAGCTTTTGAACAGTTGTTGGAAAGTACTGTGCAAATACTTATGCACCACTTCACGATTTTAGAAGCCCTCTGATTAAAAAAGTATTGCATCTTATGGTTTAAATGAAAATGTTTCAAAAAAACATGGTAAATGATGATAATTGGACAAAAAACAACTACAAAGATTAAAAATACGTATTAAGCGTCCACATTTTACTTTCAAAGCATAAAAAAAAGAAATAATTTATTGATTGATCAAAGTTTTTCATCATTGAATTCTTTGATTTCTTAGCCCTGTTTCATTGTGGTGCAAGTGCAAGGTATGATATAACAAGAGAGGTAAAAAGTCACAGCGGATGAGAGGTATTCGCATACTCTGAGGATCAACGAATTTTGTCTAGCTCCTGAAGTACAGAGGTGGAAATTAGACGAACCTATTGATGAGATTAAATAAACAGACAAACTTGTGCGAATGATTGCGAATTTAAACACTAAATTCTCAAACACCCATTAAGGAATATTATGTCAAGGTATGCTTCGGAATTAATGAAACCATTGATTATTATTGTTGAGGAATGAAGTAAAAGTGAGAATTAGGCACTATTCCCCCCCCCCTCCTCTCTTATTTTTGCTATCTACACAAAATTGAGTGAATTTCTTCAAATCTTCATCTATGAGTGTAAAGAAAATAAAAATATTCCTTAGTTTTTCTGCTCCAAGACTGGAAATTTTTAAAGTACAAGATCATGTATACAGTTATAGTCTATTTGTGTGTTTCATGATGAGGGTATCGATCACATAGGAATGGTGGATAAAGAAACTACCAAAATTTAACGTAAGTATTCGTAGCAACTTTCCTTCTTCACAAGACCACAAATGAAACAGGAGCAGGAAATTTTGCTCGCATGGACTAATGTACAATTAAGTTTTCAAATTTTTAAGTTAACCTGTTGAGCTAGCGTTGGTACCTGACTCAGAGCATGCAGTTTCATCATCATTCTCTTCATTCGTTTTCTGGTTATTGTCCTCATCTTCCTCATCTTCGTCCTCTTCTTCCATCCGTTGACGTGCCATTTTTGCTTGGATGAACTCATTATAGTGTGCCTTGCGTTTGCTGTCAAACATTTTCCGATGAGCTGTGGAAAGTTAAATAAAAGTGAGAAAAACCAACATTTAATATTCAAGATAATATGTATTTTTTACTTCTTCGAATGAAAGAGGTATCAAAAATTTCCTGACATGATTTTGCGAAAATAAAAAGGAATTATTAGCATTATTCTGAAACTGACAAGCATTTTATTGATATTTTCAGGGTGTCCATTAAAACTGGCTGGATGAAAATTATTACTTTTACAGTGCTTAGTCAGTACTTCCTGATGAAATTCAGTGCCTGCTCAACAGAAAATTACGTACATTTTCAGTCCTCTGTGTGACAAAATTCGAAAATTTGGAAGTCTGCTCGAATTGTGACAAGAATGATTTGGCCGAAAATTCTGGGCTTGATTATGGTCTAAAGATCAACTGACAGCACAATCACAATCTGGCATGTTAATACTGCATTAGAAATCAATGTGCAAGAGATTTCATACTTCCCAGGCTGTCTTTAAAAACACGAATGACAGGTAGAAAAAAATTCCAGACCTTGCAGAATTTCATACCCTTTTACTCCTTTTGGACCATCCAAAAAAAATCAGTACGATTTCAGGATTTTTCACACTACTTAGCAAACACCCTGCATTTTAAAAGCAGAGTAATCAATAAAAATATATACAGATGAACACCCTGAGGCTCCATAATAGTAAAATAGGGACACATATTTGAGGAATCTTACAGCAAAGGGAGTAAAGTCCATTTTACTGATGAATCCTGGACTGCGTAAGAATATTAGCGTTGTGGGGCTCATCAGCAAATTGGACTTTGCTCGTTTTGCTGCAAGATGCCTCAATTATAATTGAGAATAATTTTGCTGTTTAAAACCAAATGATGATATGTGAAGTTCATTCAGGAATACTTAATTGAAGAGAGAGAGAGCACTACTTTATCACTTGGCACAGTTCTCCAGCATCATACTTCTGGTCACATACAGCCATGCAAACAAGCTCATTTCACAAGGCACCACAATAATCTTCACAATCTTCTTGACCTGGCGACCTACTATTGGTATAACTTACAACTGTAACTATTCTACGAGTAAGACTCCTTCTACTGAGTCACAAACAGTTGTAGAGAGCCACAGAGCGCTGAGAGTGCGGCTCTTTCAGAAGTGAACGTTTGATATTACAACAAAATTAATAGCACTAAAAAATTTAGTTCTTGTTCCTTAAATACTGATAACCTCAAGTTCAGTTCTTATGGAATCGTCCTCACTAGTTTATTCAGCATGGTCTTGACTTGAAGAAGAAAGATCTAAATCCCGACAACCGGCCAAAGTAGTACCTCTGAGCAGCCCCAGCATGTAGAATCATGATTCAAATAAAAGATAAGGATTAGTTTTAGCCGGTTGAATCCTCTTTTTTGACTCATCTAGATCAATTTTGTATTACAAGAGTTGAACCAGCACTACGTAGCACCCGTCCTCGTGGCAGACCAGAAAACAGCACAGGAAATGTATCACCCAATAATTTCTTTTAGTTTGACCAATAACCTCTTCCAATTTTTTTACAAATTTTTCTTGTGCAGTCTTGTTGTTTCCCAAAACGTTTCTGCAGATCTGCGTATTTTCTTACACATTTTTTGGAGATCATTTGGTGCCAAATGCAAAAAAAAAATAAACAATCTACTTGGATCCATTATTTTGGGCGCTCCTTGGGCATGAAAGATGGCAAAAGAGACAAAATATTATAGAAACCTAATGAGTGAGTCCTTCCATCAGGGCTAAGACTTTGTGATCATGATTTTTTTCCGACGATTAAGTGTGCTTAATTGTTAAGACCCAGCATTTGATAAAGAAAATTTTGGGTGGACTTTGATATTAGCTTGCTGTTCATTCCATACTTCAAAATATAGTAAAAATATTTCTGATTGTAAATACCTTTCTGTTCTTCAGTTTCTTCTTCATCACTGGATTCATCCTCAGAGCACCGTCGTAATACTTTCGCTGGAACAGTTGACCCTTTGGCAATTCTAGAAAAATAAAAAAGCACATTGTAGAGATAATGATCCGCTAGCCAGCAGTAGCAAACGTGTTGTAAAAGAGTAAAAAATATTACATCTTAACAGGGAGACAAATAGGAAATGAAGTGATACCTGTTAAATAAACGGATATTGTCAAACGTCATTCATAGGGAAAATAGGAAATAAGAAGGGGATAGAATACAAAGGCAATGGTGCGATTTGCAAAACTACCACAACTGCTTGTGATAAAAATGTGAAGACCACTGAAAAGGGGTTTTTGAAATGTGAAGGCACCGGAAAAGGGGCCAAAAATGTGAAAGCAGTGCCATTTTTTGTGAATGAAACTAGTAACTGTGTATTCCTTGTGGCAAAGGAAACTGCTAACTGTGTGTTTTATGCAAAGAAAATAGTGGAATGCATAGTTTTCTATTGACAACAGCAATATGAAGGCTGCTCCGAAAAATGTGAAGGGAAAAATCTTTCTGCACCCCTGTAAGATATATTTATGAAATTTCACTCCCGATCTTTTAACTCGGGCTTATTTTCAAAGCTGCAAAAGTTCTATTTGATAAACGCCTCCTGATGGTGACATTAATTTGCAACTCTATTTCAATCTTACCTAATACCTAAGTACTTACTTTTGAGGATTAAAAAAAAAAAAAAAAATTCCTCACTTGAAAAGACATACAAAAAAACCATGAATAAAATATTAGGAAATGCAAGCTAGAGTTTACAAACTTTTCAGCCAGTAGGTCCACATCCAAACTGTCAGTTTCATCTTCATCCACAGTTCGCTCATAAGGCGTCTTTGGCTCGTCTATTTTCATGTGCCCATAATCTTTGTCTGCAGGATGAAGGGTGGCTATGATGTTCATTTCGTCCCATTTTGCATTTTTTGCCTTCTCAGCAAGAGCTTTCCTGAAAAAAGATATTTTGTTTCAGTTTAAAAATAGGTTGAATGAAAATCGTGGAAGTTACAGTGACAAAATCATCCATTTCTTTCACTTTGTTTCTGTATGAGACTGGTCCAATCTGGCTACCTGGAAAATCCTTTGCTTTGACTTGGCAAGTTTGACCACACGATGATATTCATGAAATTTGACAAAGCTACAGGAGAGAGGACTCATGGTCATGGAGCTGAGGACCTCACTATTTTTTTGCCTGCATCTGAGTATCTGAGTCATGACTGATTCTTACTGATTCTACGCCTGACTTACTTAACCAAATCCTAGAACTCAAAAAATTTCAAATCATGAAATTTTGAATTAGTGGGTGTTAGGCGTGAGAGTCATGCAGACCTAGAGCTCATGCATCATATATAGAGACAAACGTCAATCTCCGATTAGCTCTGAATTTGCACCACTCAACAGGTTAATACATGCAGTCAGGTGGCACCACTAGTGAATGGTGACTTAAACAATACTTTGACGTTTGTCTCAATATACGATGTGCGAGCTTAAGGCTTTCGTCTAAAATCTGCCAAGATTTCAGGACTTGAATAATGTGATATATCACACACTGATTCGACCATGTCGTGGACCTGGGACAGATCACTTAAATCTTGGATACCACAAGGTGACCATGAACAGTGAGTTGAAATTAATATAGATGATTGACAGTACTGCCTCTGGATGTTTCGTAACTTGGAGTGTGGAGGGCTTGGATTACATTTCACATTTTGCAGGAGGACACCAGATTTTTGAACCATGTTTGATCTGATCTGCCAATTATTAGAGTAAGTAGTACTTATTAACTTGGGAAGCAATTTCCGGGATTGTGACCTGGCTTGATTAGCACTTGGAAAGGTCAAATGATTCGACTTAGCTGATCCAATCAGTATTTAGAATAAATAGCTTTCAAGTAAGGTAATGTGAAACCGTTGAGCTTGAACGTCTGTGAGCTAGGTTAGGTACATCTCCTAGAGCAACGAAGCAAATCCACGTTAGAAATTAGAATGAATCCGAATTAGAAAAGAACACGGTGCAACATCAGGTAAATTAAGAAACAGCTCAGTGTTGATCATTTATTTTATAAAGTGACAGAATAAGTGGGAACTTACTTTCCTTGCCTTCGATCCGCAGTTTCAAAACTCGAGGAGGATTTCAAAATACTCTTCGACGGTTTCTTCTTTAAATTTTCGGCTGGATCATGGTCTTTACAAGACATGATAAACAGAAAAAATTAATAAATAAATGGAATCACAGAAAATAAAAAGGAACTTGAAATTTAAAAATAATTTACACCTTTGAAGACATCACTATTTTGTTATTGTTTATGCTGTGACGTCCCGAACTGACGTCATTGGTCGCGTGAAAGGCGCGAATCTTGAGGAAATTCAAAATGGAAATTGAAGCTTAAAGATATAAAGAACTTAAGATAATTAATACAGTTTACTTAGAAACGGTGTTAAATTAGGCAAATTTAAGGTAACTTGGAAAGAAAAGGGTATTTTGTTGGAAAGGGTTGTTGGTTGGTAGGTCTAGAATTTGAATGGACGTATCGATATAATTGAACAACGGAGTCGAGCGACTATCGATAGTCTCGAAAAATCCGTGTAAAATACACACTAATTCTGCTTTTATTTCTCTGAATTTTGCCGATTTTTGGGTTTAAAATGATTCTTTAGGCTCAACTGCAGGGGCTATCGTCCTTTATTTTCCTAAAAATTCAAAATCTGCCGAGATTTTGACCTAATTGATGCGATATATCGCATATGCTAGTCCGACCACGTCGCTGAAGCTGGACAAATGGGTTCCACCTTTCACAATTTATGAATGACATAGGGTCTTGTTCAAAGTACCATCTTCATCTGTTACTCGCATGTCCAGGAATGATATCCTGCGAGAAGATGAAGGTTTTAATTAAGGTATTTCATCTGAGATTTTTGATGTACCATCATGATTACTGCATTAAGTTGCAATGACTTTTTTATTTTTTTCGTCTTTTAATTTTCATCACTTCAAAGCTTATTTTTTTAAGAATGGCTTTCAGAAGGGTAGCTCTTCAACCCCCCCCCCCTCCCACCAAGATTTCAAGAATCCAAAACTCTGCTAAGTATAATGCTGTCAGAAGTAATAAGGGATGGGGGAGGGGGGATTTGTTCATTGGCCTCATATGGCCTCAAATGAAGGTACAATCGCAGGGGACATACGTTAGTTTGATAAACATATTATAGTATGGATTGGGGATTGCGCAGTCTTAAATACTCAGTTTGCCTCGGTCAAGTTTATTTTTGACTGCTTCTTATTTCCTATTTTTTGTTTCAGAATTCATTTTGCTACAATACTGTGCTTCTGACTTCTACGGAGGCGGCGTCTCAATTCAGGACGGTATGAAACGGGAGAAACGTAAGGGACTGTCCATAAATTACGTTACCCATTTTTTTCAATTTTTCAACTCCTCCCTCCCTCACTGTGTCCAACTACTGTACTCGTCTACTGCTAGACCCCTCCTAAAAATTATGTCATCCTTAGCACCTCCCCCCCCCCCTTGTTTGGAGGAAAACCTCTGAATTCTTATGAGCAAGATATCCAGGCTCGTAGTGACTCCTTAAAAAATTCTTGGACATGAAACATACACACACACATAAAAGCGGAAGTAAAAAGAACAATATTCTTTTGCTAGTCAATGATTCTTTTTATTCAAACACAATAATAAAATAAATAACTGTACAAATAAATAAAAACAGATAAAACAAAATGTTCTATAATAATAATGAGTTAAGAGTAGATCCGGAAGGCAGTTTCACACAGATGTAAAAATGTAGTAAACGTAGAAAGATAGTAAAATATAACAGATTTGATTCAATTAATCAAATAATTCATAAAAAAAGTCTAAAATTTCCTAAAAACTGCTCATTTCATACAAGCTACGAATGGTATGCCAAGCTTTTAAAAAGTAAGAACACCCTGTTCATTAAAATTGCACGCTCTGGATAAAATCAATCAAAATAAAAGTGTTTCTTTTTGTAAAAAAGTTTGTTGCAAAGACTAACTTTTTCACATTGAGCAAATGGAAACCATTCCTGGAATTTCACATCCACATAATTTGATGTTAGATAGTTAGACTTTTGATGGTGAAAAATAATGCTCTGATGTTATTCGCCTGGCCGAAGAAAAGGTCACTTTAAACTGGATTGCATTTTGCAAAAAGGAACCACTAGCATTGCAATGTTGCTAAGATTATGCAACTTCTTCTGTCTTGGAGGAAAAACCCGATTATCCATTAATAGTTTCTATTTTACTCGCTAAAAACTATAAATTTGAGACAAAAATTACCATCTAAATTTCATAGTTTTTCACGATTTCCGCAATTTTATTGCAAAAGATGAAGTTGCACAATCTTAGCATCATTGCAATGCTAGTGGTTCCTTTTTGCAAAATGCAATCCAACTGTTGTTTGAGCTCCGATGTAAAGATGACAATTTACTGTAATCACGCTTTGATTTTTCTATCCTGAGTACTTAGCATTTGGATGCAGGAGGTTACAGACATGATGACGCTTCACTGCAACTTGATAGCTTGATTTAAATCAAATTATACAAGTAAAAGGGGAAAAAACTGAACTTAAATTCAAAATATTAATAGCACTCCAGTTTTAAAGTCTCTCGATGCAAAAGGCATGCAACTTTTAGTGCAGATAATTGCAAAGATTGCATACTTTACTATTAGAAAATGTAAATAAAATGGCGAAAACACTTAAAACACGATTTGACGATTGGAGACTGAAAAAGCAGTTTTGTTTTGACTTCATTACATAGGTAAATGATTACCTATTTGTACTTGAGATTGGGTGAAGAATTCAGGAAGGATTTCATGGAAAAAAAAAACTTACATGATTTGAGAGAACGGAACATGAATTAAGGGGGGGGGGCGCAGATTAATATGTCCAATTAAACAAGTTTTACTCCCCACATGGTACATCATATTTGTACTTCATCATTATCATTTTGCTTCAATAATTATTGATCGGAAGGGTGGAACGCCTCTCATGCAACGAAACTTGCTTCCATAAATTTAAAAGTCAAGAGAAGCAGCATCTGATAAAAAATGGTGCGATGACACAATGAGACAAATAAGACTAGAGAAAATAAGTCCGTTCAAACATTTAAGGCGAATGTAGACCAATATTGAAACATCGATTAGTTTAGTGGAAGGGACCTGATAAGCTTTTGAGAGCAGTTTTTAAGTGAAACCCAAAGCTTCACAAAATTGATTCAGGGTAAAATATAAATGAAGTACCTAGTGTTTAGACTACTTCAAATTTCAAGTTTTTTTTTAAAAAAAAACTCAGAAAAAGAAGTTGCTAAAGAAACATCCTGAATGTTAAAAATTTGCGCGACACCTCTTGAATGTTGTTATGGACACTCAAGCTGTTAAAATAACATCCTTGCTACGTTGAATTGACAACCGTATCGTTCATATTAATATTCAGAAGTTGTCGGATGTTACTTCAGTAACTTTTTTTTCCATGAAGAAGTGGAACAAGGGAAATTCAATTGAGCATTAATACTGTTGATACATGTAGTTAGCAAGAATGGACTAAGTTCTTTCCAAAAACTTTACTAACTAGAATAAATTTCTCAGGAGACCTTTTTCTCTACATCAAAGAGATTAAAGAATATTTGTTCTAAAATTGTCCAAAAGTCTGTGCTTGAAAACATCAGAGTGGGTCAGCTGCACTAGTCATTGAATTGTTTTTTGATGGTTCAGGCTTAGACTAGCAAAAAATGATAGGATCTGTTCACATGCTAAATTTCTACTTCCTATATTAACAGAGATTTCACCAAAAATATGAATAAAACCATGGTATGCACTACTGAGGTGGGTGATGTCATTTCCTGGGTTTTCTGATAGGGGATATCTCTTTAATATTAGGAGACGAAATTTGGCATTTGAACAGGATTGTATTTTGCAAAAAGGAATCATTAGCATTCAAATGTTGCGAGGATTTAGCAACTTACATTAATTGCAATAAAATTACTGAAATCATGCAACAAATTGAATTTACAAAGTTAATTTTCGTCTTAAATTTATGGTTGATTGGAAGGAAAGATAAAACTTGTTTCAATGATCAGTTTATATAAAGCAAGGTAAAAAAAAAGTTACACAATCTTAGCGATATTAAAGTGCTCTTGGTTCCTTTTTGCATAAAGCGATCCAACAGATCTTGCTAATTTTTTCTGATCCATGGCTTAAATCATCAAAGCAAAATTTTTGGACTAGCGCAACTGACCCATTGCTTTGTTAAAACACAAAACCTGAACAAAAGTCCCCGTTAACTTTCTAGCAATCTTATATTCACTGATAAAGGACCAATAGAATTATTTTTCAGGTTTGAGGTGATACTGCTCCACCCTGGGAAAATAACTTTCTTAAAATTTTCCATGACTATGAAATTTTTCTGAAATAAGATCTAATACTGAAAAAAGTGGAGTGAACTTTTGATCACAAATGGACTCCTTTTGCCCCAGTCATACGCTTAAATAAAAATTCGGCAGGGGTTTTTGGGGTGGTATGCTCACGGACGCCTCTGTATACCTTCGACTGCAAGAGAAATGGTTTAGCTATGATATTTTTTCAGATTTCAAGATTCAAAAATTTTCAAATTTTCAGCCTTCTCAGTCAGATTTACCGACTTTTCCCTGATTTTTCTGATTTCCTGACGATGTCCAGTGTCCAAGGTTTTCCAGCCCTGTAGACACGCGGAATTTTAGATGAAAGCATGAAAATTTGCTTTCCAAATATTCAAATTTACATAGTTATTGGATGCAAGTCCGTTAAAAATAATTTAATGGCTCTCAAGGAGGCAAAGTTGACATAAGCTAAAATTTTGATATTAAATTAAATTAAAGGACAAGAAAAGTAAGAGCGAGTTGGGATGGATTGTCACAATGATTGGATATCTAACTTTTTCATAAAATTAAGTGTAATGATTTGAAATAAAATGATTTAAATTGAACATTTTTCAAGACTGATGAGCATTTTCCCATTTGCTACATGAATATCCGAAAAATTTTGGGTAAGGACCCTGATTAAAAGATGCTTTTGATTGAATTGTTCACATCAGCATCATATTGATGCAAAACAAAATTGACATTCTTAATACTGATTACAAATTATTTTCTCATTCTGTTAACAGGAAGCATCTTACATTCCATACTCTCTTTGAGGTAGATCAGAATATTCTGGAGAGACAAAATAATGGCTCCTGACTCCTCTAACAAACAGATGTGAACAATGAAGAAACTTTGAGGAATTAAATGCTGTATGCTTCCGCGAAATTCATACTTGGGTGAGAAGAAATAAGCGAGTAATTTGATAAGGATTGAAGCGAGTCTTATTCATTGCAGAAGCATTTTTCAGTTGGCAGCTACTATATTTTCACCTGCAAAAATACAATTTAATTAATTTTACATTGAAATCGCATTATGAGGTTACACAGACTCGAGCAGAGTCCACGCACTTTCAGACTGCAGACAGAAGATCCGCGATCTTGATTCTTGCATTTAATTTTCATGCTAAACTAACATCAGACAATCTTCTATCACAATCTAAAAGTGCAAATATTTTTATGGTGCGGGATCCTACCAAGTTTTGAAACCATAATAATACAATGATAAAATCAAAGTTTGACCGAATTTTCTCCAGAATCCCTCAGATTCAAATCATTCCGTGGTAAGTAAGGCACATGTACCTACGCACAATTTTACTATTGAATAATTTAATATTACTTTGATACTGTATCCTGAATACCATTAGCACGTTCTCTCAGACTGTCCTATTGAGAGCATGTTAAATTGTTACCTGATAAAAATTACAGCCTTATTAACTTTAAGTCATTAACATTTGGAATCCTAGCAAATGGAGCACACTTCGTTACAGCTTTGCAAAATGGAACACTACAGTCTACAACACAAAAGGTGGTGGTTTATACTGCCATGCTACGGAGAAACACTGTATGAACCTTCAGGCGTTGCCAAATTTCCATTTATAAAAAACAAAATTACCGGGAAAATTGTGAATATTTTTTTTTCAAGTTTTTCAGGAAATTTTGTTCACGGTTCAATCTAAGATATCTTAAAATTTCAAGGCAAACTGTGCAAAACTTTCGTCACAAATACATACGTGTTTTATTCTAGGAAATTTGGCAACTCTCGAATGTTCATACAGCGTTCTTCCTTAGCACGGCAGTGCAGGTGGAGTAAGGTGAGCGCCTTGACCCATTATTTAAGGGTTGATTTGCTTTGGCTGAGCCCGGTCCTCAAAAAGTACCCATATATCTTTGTATCAACCCTTAGACAATACTCCAAACCAATCACTAACTCTGCCCCTCAGCTGCCATTTTTTGTGACACAAACTATCAGTAATGTTTGAGTGGACTCTCACACATTGCTGGAACCTGGAGATATTCTGTTTTGGTCACGTAATGAGAAATTTAAGCTTACAATCTCCCAAGAGACAGAAATTTATTTTGTTCCAAGAATAGGTAATTTGTGCGATAAAATTAGTTAAACTGCAGATTGAAAGTGTTCCTGATGAATGGACAAATTTTTGTGAGGATTTGAGGGGCAAATAAATATTATAATATGAAGAGAAGAATTAGACCTTTATGAGCTTGTGGGTAAATTATTGTGCAGAAATCTCTTCCTTTGGTTGACAATTCAAAAATTTTGTAAGATTCTGACACGGGTAAATGTATTTAGTGTGCTTACTTGCTTTTGGATTTTTTTAAGTAGTTTGAATTGGGATTTTCAAACTAGATTTGATACTTGTTAATTTTCCGGAGAATCCTCATTAAAAAGAAACCTGGACATGAGAAAATCTGGACAAATTTGGAAGGAGGCGAGAAAGAGGGGGGGGGGAAGAGAAAGAATTCACGATAAAAGAAAAATATTTCAAGATCACCTCTTTCATAAAACTGTCATTTCTCCGTCAAGGACAATTTCAAAACTTGCTCTAACGTTTCCTCCTCCTTTCTTCGTAAGGACTCTTCTTCTGCGATTTGCCGAACGGAGAGTTCTATGGCTGCCGAGAGCTCGCTGATCTCTTCGATACCGTGGGGAGTCTGAGAGGTAAAGGAAGTAGGAGGGTGCTCCTTTAAGCTGGCTTGGATTGCTCTACAAAATTACCAAAACCATCAAATTAAACTACATTACACTACATTGGGACAGAATGATCAAAAGTCGACAGTTTCTGACGAAAAAGCCACAAGAAGATGTGCATGGTGGTGAGTTAAGCTTGGTTTTAGAATGATAATATTCATCCCATAAATGTAAAACGTGAATCAAATGCTACAGGAATCAATAAAATATTAATGGAGACAGGTAATCAGTGAAATTAAAAGGAATGGAGAATTTGCAGGTGTCTTAAATTTTGTGAATTTCATGTCTAAAATGAAACTGCTAGGAAAACTGAGTGCGAAGATATCCTTGGTTTCTAAATTGAACAATAATTGGAGAAAAGATGGCCAAATAACCTAATCGGCTAAAATAAACGTTTTTAAATGGAAAATGGCGCCAAATGACGTCACAAGGCAGCAAATTTTCACACTTTTAAATAAATTTGTCTCCAATTTCCCATATCAGAAAAAAATTATGAAAACACTACGAACTCAGCTCATTAGACACTCTCAGATGAAGCAATAAAATTTGTGAGTGCAAATTCTCCATTAATTATATTTCTTGTAAATAAAACATCTCAGAATAACTAAGAACAAAATTTGCCTTTTTCAGCCACTAGGAGGGAGTATGTCTTCAGATTTTTTTAAATATATTTTCTAATTTTGTTCCATGTGAATCGTTATAATGATCAACTTGCAGTAGGCCACTATACAAGGTCTTGAGTAAAAAAAAATGTCATATCTTCCTTCTTCAAAATCTCACATGAAAAACGATTCACACAACAGGAAGTTTGTAAATTGACTCCTGAACGCTGATTGTTGAAATTGGTAGACAAAGAAGACAAAAAGACAAAATAATATAAGAAGGGATCCTATGGGTAGAAGCGGGTGGTTGCAATTGACAAAGGAGGTAGATAATAGACTAACTAATGGCAGCCCACAAGGGACCCTTTAGTTATTCAATCATTTTCTTCTTTTGCCTATGAGAACCAGCCATTTCAACCAATAGGATTGCTCGATACTCCTTATATCTTCTTTGTCCATCGTTTTATCTATCAATTTCAATAATCAGCCCACTGAACGAGATATTAAGAAGTATTTGTAACGCAGAACCAATGGAGGTTAGAATATACAAATGACATCATTTGTATTTTTACCATTTAACCAATGTTGATTGTATACAGAAACGCATATCTTGTTTGGGAGTTGATTTCCAGACTACCTGTTGCATGACTCATTTACATCGTGAAATTCTGAAGAGAAAAAGTGTTGCGCAATGCTTTGAGTCATACCTTGTTTAGAGGAGTCTCAGTATTGTAAGATACAAGAGGAAACCATTACGGATTCCGATTCTTATCTTTTGGAGGAAAATTCTTACACAGTGAATAAGTAAGAATGCCATTTGCTACACAAAGGATAAGCGATTAAAAAGTGTTTTTTGTTTCAGAACGTCAAAAACTCTGCAGGGAAACCAAATAACCAAAAAAGCAAATTCGTCTTTCAGTGAGGCATCTTTTTAGTGACACAAGATACTTTCAACGATAATTTTCCGGATAAAATAGGGAATTTTCTCCCTCGTTTTAAAACTTTTACTTCGTGGAGTCTGAAGATTAACTTCTGTGTCCTGAAACTTTTCGACATGCCATTTCTACGAAAAATACACAAGATAATATTGAGCAGCTACTTCCATAGGAATAAAAAAATACATAATTAAGCACAACTTATCGACATAACAATCACTTCAACAATTGGTAATAACAAAAGATCCAGATATAGCTATATTCCACTACATTTTGAAATAAGGAACTAATATTTCAGGCTCATCCCTAAAAGCACCTATCTGCTTGTAGAATTTATTAGTGAATATCGATGGCCAAAAAGGAAAACCACGTACCTCCATTGCGATATTTCAAAATTTTCTGCTCCTATTTTACTTTTCAAAGATGAACAAGCAAACTTTATAGCTTGAAATCCACGCAGAATACTCTGCTACCAGTGAAAAAAATCAAGAAAGTTTTCAAGAGATTATGTTGATAAGTTTTTAAAAGGAAAAATAAAGTATGACTGGAAGTCTGCAACATCCCAGACAGAGATACATGGTTTCAATCTTTGGCCATCGATGTTTTGTTTCTAAAATGAGCCAGACTTTGTGGTTACTTATTGCAAAACATAGTCCAAATGTCTTAATTCTTCATTGTACTGGCCAGGATCCTATTTGCTACTTTTGCTAAAAATAGAAGAGAGGCAGGATAGATAAAATTATGAATTGAAAGCAAACTGTGAAGCTGAACAAGATAATTATACGATCAGAGATAAATGAGAAAAATACAAATTTTGGAAAACAAATAAAGACTACCTACTATTAAATAAATGCACGAAAAACCCTTAGTTGCAAAACGATGGAATCAAAACTTAAGGAAAATATTACGTAACGCTCACAGAATAAGAAAGCATGGTTTTGATTCTTTTGAAGTAGAAAGCATTGGAGACTTTTGCATTGTGGTGTGAACGATAGATTGGTTTCAATGCTCAGAGGTAAGGAAAGGTCAAATTTAATTACTGAGATAAATTTTGTTAGATTTTGAAAATTCCAATTTCCTCAGCAAGAAACTGAGTAAAATGAAACTACGGGACACAAATATCACAAATATGAGCTTTAAAGGCAATTACGAGAAATAAATGTCTACAGAGTAGGGTAGCGAGGAATCTGTAGATACTTTGACTTGGACTTTGAAAGTTTGATACTATGATGAGTCCTGTTGATGTGAGAAAAAAATAGAGAAAAATTTGGATCAGAAAAGGCATACACTAGCACTAGGATGCAGAGATTTTGTCATGACTATAGTCATTTTGAGGGACAACCAGAGGCAATATATTTTTGGAGACCCTGCCACTAACAATGTATGTAATGTGACATTGGTGCCAGAAAATGCTAAAAATCAGCAATAAACTCCATTTAAACCATTGAAACTAGCAACCAGTCATAGCTACTTTTCTTTAGATGATTATTCATGAATTTTGGGATGAGCACATTGCTAGATAAGTTTTTTTAAATTGAGGTAAGGCGTGTTCAGACAGGTTGACAAGCCTTATCACAAATATGTAATTTTTTCCACAAATTAGAGCTAACGCTGATTGCAATGATCTTGTGAAGCTCTTTGAGCCGCTCGGTAGGTCGTAAGAATGCACCTCATTTCAATTAAACTAATCAATTGGTCAACTCTTCAGTCATCAGACATCACGATTAAAAGCTGAGTTGTGACTTCCGAAAGTACCTTTCACACTACAGAGAAGATAGCAGTGCAGGGGCAGGGCCTCAAAATAATAATATCTCTGTGGGCGACAGAGACCATATTTCTACAGCATGTAATAACATGAGGTTAGATAGAGCAATAATTTTGTGGCCATTTCAAGGGGAAAACAATTTGCATTTTTCAAAATTTCAAAACTGAGTTATGAATCATTTCAAGCAGACTTTGAGAAATCTCATCTAACTCATGAGTCTAAAATTAATTTTCTTAAATTCCATCTGGTGAACTTATTCCAACTGAAGCACACCTACGTTTGATCTTAGAACGACTCTCAATTTTTGACAGCTTGTTGTTTAATCCGATCAAATAGAATGAACTCACTTGACACATTAGATATTACGTCCTGCAGGTTGATTAATGATATTGATAGACAAAACAGTGGACAAAGAAGACTAAAGGGACATGGCGGGATCCTATTGGTGGAAGAGGGTGGTTGCAGTGGACAAAGGAGGTAGATAATAGACTGACTAATGGCAACCCACAAGAAACCCTTCAGTAAACCAATCACTTTCTCCCTTAGTCGATAGGAGCAACTCATTTCAACCTATAGGATTTCTCCATACTTCCTACGTCTTTTCTGTCTAAAGCTTTGTCTGTTAATTTCAAAAATCTGTTTCCATGAGACAAGATGTGATAGAAAACTGGATGATGTACCCACCCCAAGTTTGCCAAGTACTCACTCAAAATATATGAGTGGTGAAAGATGTGATGGAACTCAATTTTTTTCAAAGTCCGTTATAACCTACATCATGAGCAATGCTCTGAAAACTAGGCTATGTTTTCAGCATAATAATTGATTATGGACGACCAAAAAAATGCAGGTCGAATAGAGATTAAAAACGTCATTAAGGCGCAAAAAAAAATAAATGAATAAACGTACGGAAAGAAAGAGTAATAGGGGAGTCTAAAACTAAAGAAAAATAAGAAACCGAAATATACCTTTGCAATTCTCTTTCTTCATCATCAATGAGTAGCCGATTGGCTCGAATTTCATCTCTAAGGTATTCAGGCGTTGTTGGCCTTTGCACGTTCAGGGCTTCCCAAATATCCACCTGAAATAGATAAAGTAACAAACATTTAGGACTTTGAATTTTCTTTCCTACTACTTGATTACCCGAAAATTCACTAAAAGTAGAGTTTAAAAAAAGAAACGAAAAAAAAACCGTCCAAGTGTGTTTTATCATCAGTTATAGATCAAAAAGGTTTGTGATTTTTTGTATTCCTAAGAGTAGGTCAGTATGTCTTAAGAAAATTCCTGCTTGAAATCACTAGGACTAAAACACAGAGACGACTAGTAACTTAACCAAAAACATTCTTCTTCTTCTTCTTCTTCTTCTGTTGGTTTACTGGCTTATATTCCAAATGTGGAACCAAACACATTGAATCTTAACCAAATTCAATTATACAAACCTGATCATCGCTTCCTGCATCAAGTAGACTTTGTCTGATGGCAAACGGCAAAAGATCATCTTGGTCATCAGTAACTTGTCTACGAGATTCAGCACCTAAAAAAGAACAAAAATAAGTAAAACATCCGAAGATACACATGTTGACAGTGAGGCATTGGTTGATATCATGATAATTTATTTCAATTATTAATATATTATTCAGGCTTATAATTATTATATTACTAAGGCCTAATAATATATTAATATTAATATTATTATTCAGGTCTAATTGTAATTTTTACTTTAAAGGGAGCAGATAGGTCAAAAAATAGTTATTCATATCCTCTTTTGATTAATCCTGCAATTCATTCAGTTCCCAAAACTAATGCCTGATACAGACGATGTAACAGCAGAGGAATTTGTGACAGGTTAATTTTATTTTTTTCCTAGTTTTTCCCTACAGATTTAAAGTGAGATGGGCTTTGGTCAGTTTTTTTCTAGAAAATATAGAAATAATGGTCCGATAAAACTGGCATTACTTAGAACTCAGCCTGTGTCGGACAGAACCGCCAATCCCAAGCCTGTCAAACTTATCAAAATTCCACTGTATTGACTTTTGCAAATCACAGCAGACGACATTATCCATTAAACTAAAGGCTTTGTCCATCCAGTTCCATCAATGATGCACACGCAGCCAGCAGTGAGCGAATTGATCAGATCAAGGTGGAAGAAACAAAGGGTAAAAGCAAAAGTTACGACAGAATCAAAAGATTGCTCTACAGTGAGACATGCACAGCTGATTTTTTTAGAAAATGAAAGCAAAGTCTTACCCATAACAGTGTAATTTGCCGGCGGGATAAAACATGAGTCGTCAACAACGCACATAGGTCTTTCTTCAGTGTCGATCATTGTGACTCCAGGCACAGGTTCATCCATTGCGAAAATATTACCAAACGTTATCCTAGCATTCAACACGTGGAACAGGGGAATCTCTGCAAAAGATAAAAGTTTTGTACGGAGGCAGGTATTTGAACTAAACCATAATTTAAACTTGCTCAAACTTTTTTTCAGGGGGTGATTTTGTTTTATAGACCACTTCCTACTTTAAAAAATTCTTAAATACTCATAGATTTCTACTGTTGATAAAGAGAAGTGTCAACTGTCAGCATTTCATAAAATTTAGAGGTCCTACTTCATGGCAATGATGCAATGGATCCAAAAGCCTTCTTCAATGAAGAATCTTCGTTTTAGAAGGATGGTGCAAAATTTTTAAAATTTTACTCCTTTCAACTCAATCTGACCCTGTTCAAGGATTTCCTTAGAACCGACTTTTTCTTACCTATTTTGACTGGAAAACCAGATGGTAACTGCATTTGTATGAAATCCTTGAGCTTTGCAAAGTGCGAGCTTGATATTGCCATAAGATCTACTATAGGAATAATTTGCTCTTGAAGACTAAGAGGATAATTTTCACACAGCCAAAGTGTTGCCTGAAAATAGACAGTATGAATTAGTTTATCTTTGTTCATAATTGACACTTGCTGAAAGCAATTCATCTTCATACGATGAAACTACAGAAATGTGAATCGCTGTTGCGATAATTAAAAACCGTGGCTCCTATTTTATTTTTTATTTAGAGACCATATCAAGATCATTGCTTCAAATTTACACAGAATATTTTTCATGTAGAGGAAAAAAATCATGAAAGTTTCCAAGAAATGACATTCAATAGTTTTCCATGGGGAAAATGAAGTATGACTGGAGATCTGCGACACCTAAAACAAAGATATGCATTTTGCAGTTTCAGTATAAATAAAAAAAATGCTAATGTTTCCTGCAATGCCTTATCCGGTGTATGTATGTGCTGGCTAGAGCCTTCAAGACTGTTTCTGGGTAATAATGAATTTACTTGTCCGCCTCCTGCTGAAGAAATTAGCAGCCAAATTATTGAAACTAAATTGGCACAATAGGACAAGATGTAGCCCTAAACCAAGCGATATATTGCATTTTGATGTCTCATAGAGTGAATACATATAAACTTTCAATGACCAGCCTGCTGTACAGAGGAACTCATTACCCATAAATATTCTATTGAAGTTTTCTGCACCCATACTTCCATCATGTTTCCGACACTGTTGGAGCCTCTAGAAACGATCGCATGGATGGTAATAGGAAATATAGAGACATTCAAAGTTCAGCAAAATAAAAGTGATCAGGACCAAAATTTATACAGCTCTCCAAAAATGAAATAGAAAATTTTTCTAGGCATTCTCATTGGAGAAAAAGATTAGAAATTGTTTAAACAGAAGTTTTACCGTGGTTGCCTTGTGGCTCATTTAATTGTGAAAATATTTACTGGCAGGAACTTGAAGTGAAAATGATACAAAGATTTACCTTGAATTTCTGAATTTTGGTGGTCATTTCTTTGGGTCGCCCGATATCTTTCCCGTCTAGATCAACGTTTTCATCAAAATATTCTTCAGGTTCTATGTGACACGGATTACCTTGATGTGAATACTCCTCCTGGAAAGAAAATAACTGATGAAGATGTTGCATGTGTGAGAACTTTGCGATTTGACTGTTGATTCTTATGTAAAAGTTAGAGAGGAACACGATGGTCCCACTGATTTTCTCTGAAATCAACTCCCAAGCTAAAAAACGCTCTCAAAGTTGAGGCTGTAATGGAGGGGATACCCCACGCTATCCTGAGAGTCCACCTCTACATCAAGACAAACTCTCCATGCAAAGATAGGGAGCAAATACATTAGCAGGGTTGCCGTGTTTTCAGTTTTAGAGTCCTCAAATAAAGTGGCAGCCCTATCAATGTATTTGCTCCCTATCTTTGCATGGAGAGTTTGTCTTGATGTAAAGGTGGACTTTCAGGATAGCATAGGATATCCCCTCCATTACAGCCTCCACTTTGAGAGCTTTTTTTGAGCTTGGGAGTTGATTTTAGAAAGAATCAGTGGCACTATCGTGTTTCTTACGAACTTTTACAAAACAATCAATAGTCAAATCGCAAATTCCTCACACATGCAACATTTCAAGATATTTATTGCATCAAATAAAACATATAGAATGTTGTGATACGATTACAACGGCTTAAGAGTAAAACTATGGATAGTCACAAAAACATAAACTTAAAACAAGAGAGGAACAGAGGAAACCAGAGGTTATAAGCTAAGACTCAAATTAAAAAGTGTCACGGACGTTGACACACTTCAGAGCCTGATGGTTCTATCTCCAAAGCGGTGCGGAGGTCAATTTTTTTCTACATTTGATCAAAAGTTGTTTTATTATAAGGTCTAGCAAATGGATTTTTATGACCCGTTGATACTGTAAATAAATAAATAAATAAAAGTTGAAAATTCAAATTATGTAACTCGGCTACTACGCTTTTGATGGATAAATTTCTATTACAGAAAAAGTGAGGTGCAAAGATTGGTCATGCTTCAGGATATGGTTCTCAAACATAGATTTTGAAATGAGATTTTCATCTGAATACCTACATGAGGAGTGGGCGCTCTTTCTTCCGTTTCTGCGATTCCCAAAAATGACTGGAGTGGCGTTTTAGCACCTTTCATGCGCTGCTTGTCAGCATCGGAGAGATGTTCTGCCCTTGTTTTGGTAATAAGTTCAACATTGCTAGCACCGAACACTTTGCAATCGTGTCCATTTATTGTCTCTGTTTTATCCTGCCGCCAACTCCACATTCCGCTTTTATTCCTAAAATACAGAAAAATTGTGTTGCAAGTTACATATGTAAGCCACTAAATCAGCACATTAAGGCATTCTGCAACTCCGAATCACCAGCGCCCATCGCCTTCGTGACAGTTTTCTATTACTAAATTCGAAGAATTTCAAGGACTTTTTCAGGAATTTTAATTTGCAAAATCCAAGTCTTTTAGGGATCTCTCGACAACTTTAAAAAAGGGATCATGTGCAGAACACCGAGAAATTTCAAAAGGTACGAGAATATTTACATTGGTGAACTATTTCAAAATGCCTGTGGAATAAGAAAAACAAAAACACCTTCACGCCTTTCGAACTTGATTTCAAAGAGGCTCATTAGTTATTGGAAAGGTGTGTTATAAACTTGAGATTCTTACCTTTCAAAACTAATTTTATCTGTATCTATATAAGTTGTTACAATAGGTGTTGTCAGTCTAGCACTAACAGTCTCTGGTGACGGCTGTAGAAGACTCAAATCAGCAGGTGCCACTGTCCTCATCTGCTCAACAAAGACTCGGTTTGTCTCATGATCAACTTCCATCAGAGTGGCGGATTCATCTGAGGTGACAGAAATGAGGGAACAAAATGAGGGCATGATAAGATCAAAGCAATGAAAACTCACGCATGAGTAGGTCTGCCTCCTGTATGAATATAATACTGATATTAAAAATTGAACAAGTTCTTACGAGTTCACTTTGGGTTTAGGTCAATAGAAGACAATAATATTATGAAAAAGGAAAACAACCTGGAGTGACGCAGGTACCATGATTAAAAGAAAAAAGAAGAGTTGAATTTATCAGATCCAAAAATGTAGTTATTGATTGAGTAGTGGTAAGAAATGTGCTTCATTTCATCATTTACAACCATTCTTCAGATTATGTTTTTAGAAGATGTGTCTTCAGCAATGACAGACACCAAACCAGAATCTGAGTTTAATTCAGAGTAATGGTAAAGCACCTTTTTCACTGTTAAACGATTTGAAGCCTCACAGAAGTTAAAATTCCGATTTTCGAATTTAGAACATTAAAGTAAGTACGAACCGAAAGAGTCGAAAACAAACGAAACTAACGGAAAAAAACCGAGGTAACAAACTGTGAGCTAATTAAATGAGAAAACAGAGAAGAATCGGAAAATTAAAAAACTCAAACGTCGGAATTTAGCCTTGAAGAAGGGACCGAGGTGTCCCGAAACGCGTCGGCTTTTTAATTTTATTTTGTGAGTTTGAGTTTTTTAATTTTCCGATTCTTCTCTGTTTTCTCATTAAAGTAAGTGATTCAACGATTACAATTTTCAACTACTTGGATTACCGAAAGTCTGTTAGGTCTATTTCAAAATCATCTTTTTTACAGAGGAAAGATTAGTGTAACATCTGGGATGTTGTTGAAGTGTTGCACTTGAACTAAACCATGGGGATTCGGATCCAATATTAGCCCTTGATTAAAAGCTTACATTTTTATTTAATTAAAAGCATCATTCAACACAAATGTTTTATTTACTGTCTAAGGTTACCTATTTCTCTATTGTCAAATCTACGTAGCAATTTCATATCTTTATTATAGTCTACGTCATGAAAAAGGCAACTGAGGGGCAGAGTTGGTGACTGGCTTGGGGTACCATCTAAGGGTTGAAACGTAGGAGTATTGGCACATTCAAAGAACCCGCGCTCACAGAAGTCAATCCACCCTTAAACAATAAATATAGGTGCTCACCTGACTCTATCCCTCAACTGCCACTTTTAGTACTGTAGATCATAGCAGGGGTCAGGCTTGATACATAATAAAAAAATAAAGAATAATACTGAGAAAAAAATTATGCAATTTGAAAAAGAAAACAAATGTGGATAAAGATACAAAAAGCCTGTGTAAAAGCTGCAAATGGAAAATCTACTTATTTCTTGAGATATCATTTCATTGAGAAAATACGATGAAATCTATCTTGGTAAGTACGGTGAAAAAAAATAACACTAGGGAAAAAAGAGGGCTCAGGTTGAACATAAAATACACCACAGGATTTATATTTGAAAGGATTTGAATACCAATGTCTTAGTGTATCTTTTGACAGCATGTAACGCTCTCTTCCCTTGTTCTTCATTTATTCATAACTGAGTAAAATTAAGTTACTAGAAAATAACTTATGAAGCATTTCTCTTTGATTCTTTAGAGGTGTACAGTGGTGAAATTACTAATGAAGTAATGCAAAAATTATTAGAAGGGTTCACAAAGATAACAATTTTAGTTGTATAGGAGCTTGACTGATTCTGCAAGTTAGGGAAGATTTAGACGAGTAAAGTTGATATGAGATGGAAAGAAAGAAACCAGTTTTGAAAGATGGAAATGACATTCAAATGAGTCTGCAATGATCTGGTTTAGGGACGAGGCTTAAAAATAACCAGCGAGGAAATAAACGCCTGTTGAAGATGGAAATTGAAAAATAAAGAATTCAGCTTTGATAATAATGTGCACTACAGATAATCCAGTACGCAATACAGTGATCTTCAAATTAAAATGCCGTTTACATTTGATTTTTTGATATCATCACCTGAGTCAGGCCTTCTATTTTCATTAAGTTGGAAAACGTAACTTCTGTCACATCGTAGAATGCCTGGAACTTGATTGCCTTTAGCTGAGAAAAATACGTCATCATGTATCCATCAATCACAATGAAGCAATTAGAAAAAATATGCCACTGTCATGGATTTGAGATGTTCTCTCTACATATTCAAATGCACTATTTGGGCCCTCCCTCTTCTAACCTGCTGCTCTATTCTTGAGCGCTGAGCCTATTATTCTCCTAATACACTATATTTTTGATATCCCAGACAAGAGCGATGTGCAAGTTTTTTAAAAGCAAACATAGAATTTTTCAGATTATTTTTACTTAGTTTGACTTGGTGTGACTAAGTTGGTGATGATTATTTGAACATGGAGACTGTTACAGATAGTTCTTCAAAGTTTGATTACACTTTGAAAGAAATGATGTGCCAAATTTTTACTGTCCTACTGAGTAAGGGAAAATTTGAGAATGTTAAAAATGTGGTAGTATGTTTTAGTGTGAAGATAGAAATTTGGCCCTTGCAATAAAATATAAAATTCACATAACTGTATTTTGTACTTATTATGCAATGAAATGTATTCATGGGCTGAATTGAAGGGGGGAGGAGAGGGGGAGAGGAGGCGTCTGCCTGCCTTCCCTCAAAATGCTGGCACAGCCGACATGCCAAAACTTTTCTCTCAAATAGAAATTTGGCAGTTGCTACAAATCTAGCATCCTGTAGGGAGTCAGGATATCAAGGAATTGTTGATGTATTTTGTGTTTGTGCTCAACCTAGTTCTGTGCACATTCGATTTTTCTTGCAGACTTCCTCACAGTTCATCGGATAATCAATGTATTATTGTGAAGTACACGTGTGAAAAATTTGGCACACTTTGAATACATTGATATTTAAACTATATTAATAATCTGGGTACTGAACACTCCTGGAACCAATATTTCAGTGGTACCTTTTTGGGTTTTAACACTGCAGAAGAAAAATAATTGAAACTTACTTTGACCCTGAAAAATGAAACTCGTGTTGCCGCGTTGCCAGTTGTTCTGTTCAAATCCAAGGAGCGTTGTGTCGATTCTAACTTTTGAGCCTTGTTTGTAAACTCGATAGGTGTCGCTTGGGCACATGCGAGACACCAAAGGCACTGAAAATACCAAAAAAAGAATGAAATTTCAACCATAGAGAGGAGTTGATACATTATTTATGGAGAAATACTTTTGACAATTAAATATATTGTTTCCAAAATTTTAGTACAGCTCAACTGGGAATATGTTCCGGCTAAGAGTGATTTAACTAAGTACAAACTAAGAGCAATGGCAAACTAAAATCAGTACAGCACTACAAATCTCCGAATCCAACATGAAGTTCTCATTGATTCAAATGTTCAATAATGAGATGACGAGCACCCTGTAATGCGTCAGTTTATTTTGTGAGTTGATTCTAGTGTTGATTTTACACAATTTTATGTCATGTCTTTGCTTCAACTATGCCCACGACTGGATGGATTCTATTTAATTTAATTATTTTACTCACAAATAAAAGAAATATTCATGCATACATAAAGGTCCTTTTATAGCACTGCCGAGTGACGCAAAAACGCCGTAAACACTGAATTACATTTTTTGGAAACAACATATCACAGCAGAAAAACTTGTGTGCCTTGAGACAATGTTTTCACACAATTCTTTTGCAAATGCTATCAAGAACTTAACTTGAAAATTTGAGAAGCATGCATAAAACAGTTTTCACGTTATAAAGTGCTAAGTTCCAAAAAACGAGGGAAAATCTTGATGGATTTACAGCATTCTTGCTGAGCACGGCAGAGCACTCCCCGGTGCTCTACGACACCTGAACTCCGCTGCCCTCTGTCGAATCACAACCCTTGGGGCATAGAGCACCGTAACATTTCTTCCTAACACCTTTAACAACAGAATGTTGTTGGTTTAAGTCTACGACCATGAATATTTCTGTTGTGGTGTTCGGGAATCTCTGCTCCTTTGCAGAATTTTTTTGCAGAAAAGAAAAATTCCAGCAGTTTTAAAGATTTGCTGTTGAGTAGTTTTCCATTTTAAAAATTAAGTATGACAGGAAATCTACGATGTCCCAAACCGCGATGAGTGGTTGCGGGCTTATGCTGTTGATGTGTATTCTACCTCCTCACAGATGAGCAAAATAGCAAAGAAAAACCTCTCTTCGGCGGTGAAAACCTAATTCTCGGCATCTTTGAAGGTGTTAAATTTTTGCTTACCCCAGCTCGTAAATTCCCATTTCATTTCTACATAGAAATCAGGAGCCTCTTTCAATTTTAGTAAGAGATCAGGAACCCCTCCAACACGACTTGTGAGGCGCTGATAATCTCTCCTTTCTAGGATTAGTTGCACCAGCTCAGGATCTCCTGTTGCGACTGCCTCTTGGACAACTGATCAAAAGAAATAAATGAAAATAAAGTATTAGTAATGCTGACATAAATGATAATTCCTCAAGAGGGTTTCTTAAAAATCACTTAATTTTTGAAAATTCAATAATCAAACGATTGAGACGATTTCTGCGAGGTTTGTTTGCATAACATACGGCCATTTTCAAGGGATGATATTCTTTGGTTTAGTCGTTGTACTTGTTTATATCAATAGGCACTTTCTAGAAATTACCATAAACAGGCAATCAAACTGTGAAATACATCAATGCCAGAACTAGAAAAAACTATATCTTGATTGGGATGTTTCAAAGAGAAATTGTATAAATAATTTTGCTCAAGAGAATAACAGCTGCTATTTTGGGATAAAATTCCCCAAAAATATTATTGGACAAACCGAGAGGAATCAGTGAAAAGTAAAATATGATGAGACAGCATTATTTTGCCAACTGAAATATGTGTTCTTCAGTATCGCTATTACACCAAATGTACCTCACAATAATTACTTTTTCCTCATTTTGTGGCTAATCGGATGAAAGTAAAAAGCAACGAAAAATGTCTTTCATTCTCATAATTGACGGGCTTGATCAGAGAGAGGGATTAGAACATCTCAGATCTTACTTTCAAATCTTGCTTTTCAGGACATATGAATGTCCACAGGGATTGAAATTAAATGTTGAGGAGGAGTTGTACCATTCCATTCTTCCAAAATTCATCTACGAAGATCGCAACTTTCCAAAAAAGAATTTATGATAAGGTACATTTGTGTGACATACAGGTACGTGCAATTCTTTAACATACCTCAGTCAGATTTGTAAGTCAGTAGTTTCACATGGGTGCGAAACTTGCCCGATACTGAGATTAGTAGATAAACACAAACCTTCTGTCAAAAGACAATATCAACAATTTTTATATTTCAATCATCAGTGTCAGAAAGTGGGCAAAGTCTGATAAGTAAGATTAATACAGTTCAACGTTTCTTCCAACTTTGTTGAATGACAATTTTTACTCTTTAGGTAATTCAAATAAGTGAGAAAAATCAACAGAGTTGGATGAAAAATTGAACCGTGTGAATTGGGCAGTGGATCAATTACCTGTCCAGCCCTCTTTATTTTCTGTTTTGATATCCGCACCATGGTCTACAAGCACTCGAGCAGATTCAAGATATCCTAAGGTAACAGCCAGCATTAGAGGTGTCCGACCTCTGGCATCAATTTTCTCAAGTTCCTCCTGAGAAAAGAGAAAAGACAAACAAAAATGACCAAAATATTAGTAAATGATTTGAAAATAAAATTTATGAACATCGCAACCCACTAATGAACATTTATAAAAAAATTTTAAGAACATTTTTAAAGGGAAAAGACATTATTTTTATTTTTAAGGAAGTGAAGGGTCAGCTATTTCATTAAATTAAGTTGCTTCTGGGTGGTTTCACGATAACTAGAATAGTTTTGTCGTCATACCAAACAACACATTTTTTGGTCATATTTTTAGTAGTAATGATAATCACTCGAATTTTTCTGCATTAATCTATGAAGGGTTACGTATTATAACGCTTTCTAATGATTTATTGCTCTACTTCTCAATTAATATTATGTAAATTCCGAAAATGTTCTTTCTGTTACGCTGACTTCTTACCGCTTAACAGACAACACATATTTTCTTTTGACAGATGAATCATCATCCAAAATGTCAAGCCATACTTTTCAACTATATTTCCTTGAAAATTTTGTACTTCTAAATTTATTAATCTGGTTTATTAGGTAGTTTTAAGTATATTCATGTGTGTATCTATGAATATGCATATTTTTTTTTTAAAAAAAATTTTGAAAAAAATGTGGGTAAAAACAGAGATGTAGAAACTTTGAACAACTGTAGGTGGTCAAATTTTTTAGTTTAATTACTGAGGTTAAAAAAATATTTATAAACCAAGGGAGCTCGTAGCTCTGGCAAGTTATGCAATGGGAGAAGAAGGAAAAGGAAAATTTACCCTATGCTTGTTTGGATGTCAAGCCATTTGAGAAATTGTGACAAGATAGATTTATAATTTTGAATTAATCTGGGAGTAAGAGGGGAAAAGTCAGAAATAAGCGCTGGAGCACCCGCCTACAGGTGTGAATCGGAGGAGTAATTGGCTTAAATGATGACAAGAGCATCAAAACAAATCCAGTAATTTTCATCCTGCGGACATACTGTCTCCAGCTCAAAGTGAATTAAGCGAGTCTCCCTTGTTAGGTAGTCTAATATGGACTGCTTTGATGGGCTTCACAAAATCACGCTCTTGTATGGCTTCCAATTCCCTCCTTTCTTCTGCCTCATAAAAGTAGTTCCTTTCAGAGTTGATATGAACTTCTGCATGTATTAAAAGCAACTCAAACTTAGTTGCCAAATAAATCTAATTTTTTTTTGTCGAGAATGATTCTTCAGACCCAAGCACGGGGGCTATCATCCTTTTTTTGGCCGAGGGGCCATCCACAAATTTTGTGATGCTCTAGGGGGAGGAGGAACGTCGAGGATTGCAGTAAGCAATTTTGTTTTTACGAGTTAAAGGATAGGGATCTGCGTTATAAAAAGTTACGAGGGAGGGGGGGGGAGGGTCAAAAATGCCAAAAAAATGCATTATGTAATTTATAAACAGCCACTGAAAAGTCAAAATCTAATAAATTTTTTTACTTAATCAGTGCAAAATATCACACACTGGTTCAACCACGGCTAAAACCTGGAACAAATCACCTTAAGTTTTTAAAGCTATCTCCACCTTAAGATGTGTCTAGGTATATTTTGACTCCATATTAAAATGTCCTAGGTGGCAAAATTTTCCTTACAACTGGACGGATAGCAGAATTAGAGTGCAGCAGGTGACAAAAATATTTGATTTGAAAATTCACCTCAGATACTTTATTATTCGCAGTAAACTTTCTCTAAAATAAAAGTGGTTCAAAATTTTAAAAAAAGGTTTTTCTAAGTAAAGCAGTTTCAGGGAGACTGTTGTTAAGAAATAAGAGTGGGTAACTGGGATTAACACTATGTGAGGGAGATAAACTAGTCCAAAATTACCCTGAATTTTGGCTCACCAGCATTTTTCCGCAAGTTCCCGCCTGCCTATATACTCCTAGAAAAAATTGCATGGACGAAGAAAAGTAAAAAAAGAAGTGCACAGATTTGATTTGAAGTTCAATACAATGTCCACATAGATTTAATTACAGATAAGCCACACAGAAGTGACCACTGTCATCCTCAAATATTTAGATACATTCACTGGACAGCGTCTGAGTACGAAGGAAATTTTGCCTCGAAGTAAAGAGAGAGGACTAAATCAGGACTAATTAGCAATTGCTAATGTCAGTGTTACACAATAATTTATGCAAATTTGAGAGTAACAGAGTTCATTTCAGAAGTAGTAATTTGAACTACTTACACTACAGGCTTGGGTATTCATTCAAATAGGGGGAGAGGTCTCATTTCATAAAAATCTATAGATTCTAACCTAAAAAAATGATACAATTAATTTCAATCACAGCAGAATGCTCAAGAGCTTTGTAAATTAGTATCCAGTAAAATCCATTAAGTACCTTATGGATTAACTAATTTTAAAACTACTATTGTCATGCAATAAGAATTAGAAATAAGTCTGAAATATTCTTACCGCGGTGACACCTTTAGTGAGTAGTTTGTTCAGCTTCTCGTACTGGTTGTCCCATACAAGTAAATGAAGAGGATATTTTGCCTCAATTTCTTCAATGGTCATACGAGTTCTACTGCAGGCCATTATTGCAGGACAGAGAAGAGCCAAGCGGACAAACGCATAAATTCAAATCAGACAAGGGCTGATTTCGAGATTCGTCTAAAGCAGCAGCATTTTTGATAAAGTGCCCGAGGTCTCATGAATAGTCTAAGAGATTTTAACAGGCACTATCAGAATCCAAATGTGTAGGTTGAATTGATGCAAGAACTGATTGAGATCATCATATTTTAGCAGCACCAAACAGAAGAAGTTCCTATCGGAACATTAGGAATTCACGACACAAAATTACAGGCAATGGCACGAGTACAAGTTGCAGGTACAGGCAGGATTCGTAACTCAGGAATTTCTGGTGGGTTTAGTAGAACTTACAGTGATTTGGAATGGACAATTTCTAAGAAAAACAAAGACACCCATAAACAATAACAATCAAAAGCCACTGATAAGAGCTCAAAAAAAAATTGAGGTTACTGATTGAAACTTGACACGGTTGACGACATTGCGTTCCTTATCGTGATAGAGCTACACCGGCTCGGGCGAAAACTTTGTCTATGACACGAAGTAGCATTGTGAAGCTTAAATTGATAATTAATTTGCTATTGATTCGTAAAGAGAAATGTAATGATAATAAAGTCGCACTAAAGGAAGGGAGTGTAATTGGTCACTGTAATTTGCACTTGCACCGCCTCGCCTTCTAATCCTCGGTTATGCATCACTTCATACACGATGAGGACTGACCGACATATCGGGTGCTGCTCTCTAGTGGGATGGGAGAACATTACAACTTGCTTAGTCCATACTCATACATCAAGTGTGGTATCACGCCAAATTGAAGGCTGAAAATCTTGGATTTTCAGCTGTCTATTAAGTAAGTATTAACTCACAAATCCAAGAGGGCAATTTTCTGCAATGTTGCCGAATTGCTGCATCATCCATAATTCGCGAAAATTCGGAGCAGGACTGTCGTTTCATTTGTTCATCCAATTTGAAAGATTTTATATTGAGTATGGACACCCAGAATCATCATCAGAAAATTTCGAGAAAAACAAAGGGGGGTATCACGAGCAATGTTGCCGTATCCATTATGATGCATGATGATTCTTGAATTGGCCGCCAATTAAGCATGTATATAGTTTGTAATGAGCTGATTATGATCAGAATTCTTGATTCAAGAGAGAATACTTATTGGCGGCAAATTTAAGATTTTTTTTTTCTTTCAGTGATTATTTACTGGGACATAGCCCCTTAGTGATTCAAAATCTACGAAACTTCATCTCTCTTTTGTAAAGAGGTTAAGATTTTAGTAATCTATTTTAAATCCTGCAAAACGTTCATGGTTTAAAATTAATGAGTTTCTCACTCATGGTCACTCTTATTTTTCAACCAATGTTAGTCGTTGTTGAAAATTGAATGTCTCTTTTTGCAACGTTGATGATTTCTTGAATCATTGCCTGTATTACTTACGATAAGCTAAGGAACATTATTTCTTGACATTTTTGCTGGTTGTCCTGCATCATGTGCAGAATATTTGGTAAAATTATGAATAATTCACTGATTTTCATTGTAAGGAAAAAATTTAAATGAAAATGAAACATCATCAGCTCTTCTTGAAACATTCCAAATGAGGAAAGTGTTTTGAGACTTTCCCCATAAAGCCATCTCAAGACAATCAGATTCAGAAAATAGGGAGAAATAAAAAATTTGTGGCCTTCAGGAACAAAATGCGACTATTATTAGTCAATAAATGACTGGAAGAATTTAAAACACACATGAAAAAATATTTCACTCACTAATATTAGTCATGAGAAAAAATGGTGTATGAAAAAAGAGATGTTGATAAACAGACATAAGGTAGTAGAAAAAAGAAAATTTATTTAAGTTCTTGAAAACAAAACAAAAACTCAGTAATTCCCTGTTGACTTGCTAACGTAATGATATTTCAAGGGGATACAAGTACAAAATATGGGTTGAACATGCTAAAGAAAGGCTCAGGTGAAATTTACCATATTTGCACTGTTAGTCTAAGAACGAGCTTGTTTACATGAGCGCATGAAATTTATTCAAGTTTCCGAAAATAGGAATAAAAATCAGCATTACTCTGTTGACTCGCTAACGTTATGATATTTCAAGGGGATACAAGTACAAAATATGGGTTGAACGTGCTAAAGAAAGGCTTAGGTGAAATTTGCCATATTTGCACTGTTAGTCTAAGAACGAGCTTGTTTACATGAGCGCAAGAAATTCATTCAAGTTTCCAAAAAAAGGAACAAAAATCAGTGTTACACAAGCAACTCACTAACGTATTTAAACACTAATAAATGAATACAATAATTAGCAAGTAAACAAAATGACCATTAAATTTAAAAAAAATATATATTGTTTAAAAAAGGCAGTAAGAGAGAAGTAAAACAATTTTGAGCAGCGTCAATTCCGTCTAAAAGTAATCATTGAGGAACGAAAATAGTTGGCATTTTCTTTCAAGACATGTGTTCTAGGCTGCCTGATTCAAGCATCTGAAAACATGAGAAAAGAAATAATCATCAACTGTCAAGTGAGTGGAATAGCAGAGCAAGTTACGGTTATTAAAGTAATAGTCATTCGATCAGACAGGGTTGCCACAAAATTTAGAAAATGAAATTCCCCCACATTTCCCTGATACATTTTGGTGAAATTCCCTGACAAATGAAGATATGGCAAATGGCTAAGAAGACATAATTTGACAAAAATTTGTAGTTTCAAACATCAAACCCAATATAAAAAGCAGATGAAGAAGATTCAACAAATTTTCCCTGACATTTCCCAGTTTTCCCTGACTTTATAAAATTCCCTGACTGTGGCAACCCTGCCCCTTATGAGGTGTTGCCAAGTTATGTAAACCATAATTCTAAGTTTCAAAATTCATCTTTTCTGGCGTTTATCATTTCATAATTGAGTCATGTTGTGCGAAAGTCTGTAATGTATATTTTTCCAGCTTTTAGTTTTCTTGTGTTCATAATAATTTTCAATATTTGACACCACCATCAAAGTGTAAAACAAGTAATAATGCCACATTCATCATTAAATTCAACTCTCGAATGTATTATCAACTCAAAAAAACTCAAGACAGGAAGAATGGACATGAGCGGCCTCTGCATGAAACGATTGAAATTTGTGTAACTCTTGATAAGCCAAGGATTAAAAACATCACTGGTCAAGAGGACCACATACCTTGAGATCCAAAAAAGTAATTCTATTTTACCAATGGCTGCCTCACCAAAAGTTTTTTTTTTCTCTTCCTATAAAGAACATACGTGTCTCTTATGCCATTCACTGTCATCTGCCTATTTCTAGTTGGATGAAGTTTTCTGCATCCACAAGTCCACTGGACAATGAACTGACATACCGGTACGCTCTTTGAAAAAACTCAATAATCTTCCATTAGTTTTATTCCTCCTTCAGCTTTGGCTTCAAAACATCATCTTAGAGGAATGCAAATAGTCTAGGACTTCATTGACGTTTTGAAAACTTGACTTAATTATATCAGGCCAAGGCTTATAACCTTTAGTAATTCGAGGTCTTCGTATTATAATTTGCCATTTTCCCTTCGAAAGCTTCTCTTATCTCAATTTCAAGGATATGAAGGGGGAAAAAACATGCATGAAATCTCTCTTCAAAATTTTCTGGAGGATAATACCATCATCATTAAATTTACACAAGTTTCGTACCTAATCCTCATTTGCAACCGTTTTGTCACCACAAGCTCCACATTTCCAATTGACAAGTTCTCACTTCCGAAAATTTGTATCTGTAGCATCCGTTTCATCTCACCGCATTATTTCGAAACATATCTTAGTTGACGAATACGAAAAGTGTCCTCAGTATCAGAAAATTTAAAACAACAAAAATAATAAACAGCTTGGTCATTGCACTATTGAAAAACTTTTTAAGCAGATTTTCTCGGGGAACTTTTTAAATCTTGTCCTCATAGACCATACTTGAAAAGATGGGTAAAAACAAAATTTGTAAAAAAGCTGATTATCTTTGGCTAACCTGAAGGAGGAGTAAAATCTTAAGGAAAAACCCTTCACTTCCAAGAATGATTAACTACGTATACAATTTTTAAGTGTACTGGCAAAAAATTGAAAACTCACCTAGTTATCAGGCTTGTCGCAAGAGCTGCATCCCGTATAATCTACTGCATCTGTGAATGAAAAAAAAAACGTCCAAGTTAACTAATCAGGGAATTTTGTACAGTTCAGTACATAAGTGTGATATCGAAATCACAAATTTGAAAAACAGTAAACTTCAGTCAATGATTATATTTCACTGTAGACACAATTACATACATCTATCATCATGCTTTTCTAGTCAATGTTTCCGGCTTGTGATAACATAACGAGCACCTAATGAGTAGAGTTTGTTTCATTTTGAACCTCAGCATTGAGTATTCGAAAGTAAAAGATTGTATACCCAACATTTTATTTCGGAGAAAATCCCTAATTGAAGATTGAACCCCATGTACTTCCTCCATTACTTAAACTGCGCCTAAACTCTAATTCCTTTGTGACTTGCTGAACCTTTGAAAAGGGGTATGGAAAACAGCAGATGGCTACCCTGTGCGGGTTTCTAACATATTTTTTTTTCTTTTTTTTTTTGTTTGAAAACATGCACAAGTTCTTTTATTGGCAAGAGACTTTCTGCTGCTGAGATGATATGTTCCTTGTTATTTAAGTTTTTTTTTCAACATGAATGGTAATTGAGAGGGGTGGGTTTGTAACTAAAAACATGTCGCCTTTCTCATTTTAAACAGAAAAATTAGAGTACTGAAGTCTTTGTCTATTAGTTGCCAACGCATGGATGATGCAGGGGTAGAGATGACGACTATACAGTGGATCAGGGTTATATGTTCCCCCATAAACATGAAAACTTTGTAAAATTCGCATTCCATTCTCTCTCTATGATCTTTAGTTCATTTCTATTGTACAGAAGCATGTATAAGCTACATCCATTTTATTGGATACGCCATCTTACGAGGATTCAGAAATCTTGTTCTCCTGAAAATGGGCTTAATGGCACTAATGCCTGTTTACCAAAAATATCCTTAATAAATTTGTTGTCACTTCTGATATCCAAGTCTCCTCTTTGCTCTTCATTTACCGGCAAAAATGTAATTCTCCCCTGAATTCATTCAAACAACCATGAGACACTACAGCCTGATTGTTAAAGCTTTATCAGGCTTTGTCAGCAGGCTAACACATGATAATCTTTTAACTGATCGATTTTTTAAGTCTTTTTGTGCTGACATGAGCATCAATAATCAGGCTACTGGTCAACAGACACTTCGGATCGCCTAAAATTTGTCACTGATTCTAGGTGGGCTTTTTGCAATGATTTTGAAATGGTGAATTTGACAATCACCTACTTCCAATTGGGGAAAGAAAAGAAGACACATATGTCACATCCGAGAATCACACAATTCAACATAAATTTAGATGGTAACAAAATGATAACTGATCCACTCAGGTTGATGCGATAATTGGCTCTTCTTTCCTTCCTCCTGTCCTGTATTATTTACTCAGTTCCCAAACAACTGAATTTTCTGTGGTAAACTTTGATTTTTTTGAACTGTGAGTACATGCAAAATTTGATTTTTCCAAGCATACCGTGAGGATCCAGAAAACCCAACGTAAGTTTCGAGATCAGCCCTAAAAATACACCTAGAAAATTACATTCCTTCTTGTGATGACTTTTTTCTCTTTTTGATACAACCAATTTGAGCTTGGTTCATCTAGAAGATACGCTATCAGAGACTTGCGATTGGTCTACTGTCCTCTGAAAATTCTGTGTTTCTGCAACCCATCAACAATTTGGATCCAAACAAATACACCTTGAAATTAATTACTGTGCCCTTCTTTCCTTTATTCATCTGATAAAATAGTGATAAAATCTGTATTTTTATGGTTGCCAAGTTCTGATGTTGTAAATACTTTCACTTACCAGTTCTCAATGTGTCTGCGGATGGCGGCTCCTCATCGGAACTGATTGTTATTTCTCCTGCAACACAAATTTTCAATAGTATAATTAAAAGAAGGAACCTTTACCAAAAGAATTACAGTAACCCCTAAAAACAGTAATCCTGTTTAACAACATAACCTCATTTGGTAGGGAGTGTACACTCATGAAAAAGGAATGCCGAAACACACTCAGCTCTTCCTGGACCAACTTTGAAAAAAAACTTTGATTTTCCGCTACTTTGAACAACTTTTCTCAGATAAAATTTGATTAGATGAAAAACAAAAAGGGGCGAGATTCCCAAAATACTGATAAATTTTGATAACAAGTTCGAAAACTTAGATAACGGATTTGTTGGAAGTAAAAATTCTTCGTCTCAATTGCCAAACCTAATTCTGGAACCAACGCCTGCTTAAAATTACAGTTTTTCTTGTGATTTTTCCTTCCAAAAGACAATGGACAAGATCAATTGGACACAGTCCAATAACAATGACTTAGGAGACTGTGCAAACAATTGAACTTAATTATCAGCTGCAAATCTACTGCATCATTTACTTTTTTTTCCTCCTATACATATTTATTTTGAAGGTCAAATATAACCCTATTTTCAGTTTCCTTAAAGAACAGAGTGATTTCTTAATTCTCTGAAAGCACCTGAAGGAGACTAATATTAAACCCCCTCTGAAAATGCTCAAAGGTTCCTCGACAAAAATGCCACAAGATGGAGGAGCTTACACCCCAAAATGTCCTGCTTCATTGAACTCACATGAGGAAACTTCACGTCAATTTTCCTCTTGAAGTAATGGTCTGGCAAAACTCCTTGTAGTTTTATAATTAAAATTTTATCCTTGCAACTGCTAAATAGTGTTAATTCTCTGACAGAGGAATGTTGATCCTTCAGTTCCTCTTACAAGAGAATAAATTAAAGACATTCTCTTTTCCCTTTTAGAAAACAGATGTGCATCATTCCCTAACAGCAACAATGAGGAGGGCACCTGAATTATCAAAGTTCTTCCCCTGTTGCCAACTATGATTGCTTATCGTGACAATTCACGATGGAAAATGCCACCAATCAAAAAAGTAGACGTTGATCTGTCTTTCTTAAATACCCCTCAAACATGTATCATTGTCTGGTTCTCAGAAAATATCAGGAGAGGGAGAGAAAATGAGGTTCTAAGCCAAGTTATGGCAGCCTTTGTGCTATGGATAGTCTAGATGTATTGAGTCTTTCCTTACCTCCCCTCAAGTACATCATAATCGTTGACAAATTGCCCGCCTCTTTAACTGAAATTTGTTTTTTGAACTGCTATGAATTGGACCTACTACATTCCAACATATGAAAATAGGAATATGAAGTGCACATCCTATTCCACTTGTAATTTGTTTTCGACTGTAACCATTGCAACTTTACTTATGTAAGAGGGTCGTTCCGAATAAAAGTATCTTTTTGCCGTAACTTCTTTACTACTGCATGAAATAAAGGTCTGAAAAAAACTGTTCATTGGTCATGATGTCCCCTTTCTTGCAAGGTTTTATTTTTCCTTTAAAATTTGGTTCAGCAGAATGTCAAAAAAGTTGTTTTTGTGAACTCACCTCCGGACCACATGGGTCCAAAATTTCACGCTACCAGTCCGTCCAAAATTTAAACAAGACGTGAGATAAAATGTAATGTTGGACAAGCTTATTAATCCCCTCAGCATACAACTCTTTATAGATGAACGAGATTTCTGGGTAACTCCATGATTTGATACGAAAGCCCCCTAGCTTGTGAAGCAATTTCACAAAAAGTAGCTGAAATACAACTAATACCGCGCTGATGTCTCTCTTTACTACAGACATCCCACAGTCTGGGAGGGGGGGAAAGTTGGGCATTTACGCAGACGACACTCTCGTGTTATCATCGTCCAGAAGTTACAGGGAGGCACGACAAAATGCACAAATTCATTTGAATAAAATTAATCGTTGGACGGAAAAAGATAAAACGAAATTAAACGCGTCTAAGTCGGTTGAAGTTGTATTCACAAACAGACCGTTTGTTCACATCCCCCTTCTTTTAGGGGAAACTGAAATTCCCAACGATAAAATCGCTAAATATCTCGGCCTCCATCTGGATTCCAGGCTCAGGTGGGGTACCCACATTAAGAAAAAAGTCGCTCAACTGCGACTAAAATTCTCCAATATGCAGTGGCTCTTGGGTCGCAAATCTCGGCTTTCACTTCAACTAAAGCTGCTTCTCTACAAGTCAATGTTGAGGCCGGTTTGGAGTTATGGTTGCCAATTGTGGGGTTGTGCAGCCAAGTCAAATTTGGATAAGATTGAAATCATGCAAATGAAGATTCTCAGAAGTATTGTTAAAGCTCGTTGGTATGAGAGGAACGCAGATATTCGCGCTGACCTCAATATTGACTCTGTAGAGGATTACATCACCAAGATGTACTCTGCGTATGAATTGAGATTGCATCGGCACCCCAACCAAGAAGCGCTTGCGCTCTTGGAATGGGACCGGTGCAGTCGCAGGTTGAAAAGACGTAAGCCCTATGAGCTTGGAATTC